AAGACTCAGGAGCAGGACCGACCCCCTAGGAGACCCCCTGAAGCAGCAAGAGCAGGGGACCTAACCATGAGGAGACCAACCCTTCATGGTAACGAGTTTGTCTCAGCAGAGCGCATACTACGAGCAGCTCTGGAAGATGGACCCATAGGGTTCATGCTGTTAGAGGAGCCACCATCATCACTCCCGGCATTTGGTTTTGTACCTACAGGCGCAGACAAAGGAGTCGAGATGGAGGTGGAGGTAGATAAGGTGGTGACGGCTGCAGACATACCAAAGCCATACCAACACCTGCGAGATGTGTTTGATGAGGTGGAAGCAGACAAGCTGCCCCATCATACCGAGCATGATCTCCACCTCGAGTTGATAGAAGGAGGTAAGCCACCTCAAGGGCCCCTATACCTTAAGGGACCCAAGGAGATGTCCGAGTTGAGGAGATACTTGGATGAGAACCTCGAGAAGGGGTTCATAAGACCATCGAAGAGCCCGGCACGATCACCAGTGCTCTTCGTACCAAAGAAGGATGGAGGTCTCAGACTCTGTGTGGACTACAGAGGTCTCAACGAGATCACTGTCAAGAACAGGGCACCATTGCCCCTCATCGAGGAGCAGCTGTTCTTACTCAGGAAGGCAAGGATCTATACCAAGCTAGACCTTAGAGCAGCATACAACCTCATCCGGATTGCTAAAGGAGATGAATGGAAGACAGCTTTTGGCACTCAGTTGGGACTCTATGAGTACCTAGTGATGCCCTTTGGCCTAGCCAATGCTCCGGCTCACTTCCAGTCATTCATCAATGACATCTTCCGAGACATCATTGGAGTATATGTAGTGGTATACTTAGATGACTTCCTGATCTTCAGTGACACTGAAGAGGTACATGTGAAGCATGTCACCGAGGTCCTCACTCGCTTAAGGAGCAACAGGCTCTTTGCTAAGCTGTCGAAGTGTGAGTTCCACACCAAGACAGTCGAGTTCCTGGGGTACATCATCAAGCCAACGGGCATAGAGATGGACCCAGAAAAGGTGCGCACTGTCAAGGAGTGGCCAATGCCAGAGTCAATCCATGACATCCAGAGGTTCCTGGGTTTTGCCAACTTCTATCGAAGGTTCATAGCCCACTTTGCTCGCATAGCCAAGCCCTTGACAGCACTGGTAAAGCCTATAGAACGGTTCAAGAAGTTCGAGCTACCAGAGGAGGCCCAACAGGCCTTCCACAAGCTCATCCAGGCCTTCACATCAGCAGGAGTGCTTCAGCACTTCGACTACCACCTTCCAACAAGGTTGGAGACTGATGCAAGTGACTTTGCTATAGCAGGAGTGCTCAAGCAGGAGCATGAAGGACGATGGCATCCAGTGGCCTTCTACTCTAGGAAGATGTCTTCTGCCGAGAAGAACTATGAGATCCATGATAAGGAGCTCCTAGCTGTGGTCGCCTGCCTCACTCAGTGGCGACACATGCTAGCTGGACTACCGAACCAACTGGTCATCCTCACTGACCATGAAGCCCTCAAGTACTTCAAGTCACAGAGACGCATCACAGGTCGACAGGCTCGATGGGCCATACTACTAGCAGACTTCGACTTCATATTGCAGTATCGACCGGGAGACAAAGGTGGTGAACCCGATGCTCTCACCAGAAGGACAGACATGCAACCAGCTGGTGAAGAGCAGGATCACAATGTGAGGCAACTACTGCCCCCTCGAGTGTTCAAGGAGACAGCAGACCATGACTCGCTCCTAGTGGCCCCCATGATCTTGATGGAGTCCATAGCATCAAAAGGTCTCAAAGACCTGGTCAAGATCTTCCAGCCCTTAGACCAAGAGCTACAGGAGATACATAGGAAGAAGCCCTTCGAGGTCAGGGATGACCTATGGTACAGTGGAGGAAGGTTGGTTATCCCCAAAGTGATCATGCCAGGGAGGACCAACAACCGACACTCAAGGAGTGCCAAAGAGGTAGATGGACAGTCTCTCTCTGTAGAGCATCTGCGATTCATGGTGATGACCCAATGCCATGATGGTATCACTGCTGGACACGTAGGAAGAGATGCTACCATCAAGGCAGCTCAACGACATTACTGGTGGCCAAACATGACAGCTTGGATTGCAGACTATGTAGCAAGTTGTCCTGTATGTGCTAGGTACAAAGCTCCTCGTCATCGTCCATATGGTTTGCTACAGCCACTAGCAACCCCAGACAGGCCCTGGGGCTCCATATCCCTCGACTTCATCGAAGGACTACCAACATCGAAGAAGTATGACTCCAAGACCTATGACTCTATCTTAGTCATTGTCGACAGGCTAACCAAGTTTGCCATACTAGCTCCAACCCATAAGACAGTCACGGCCAAACAGACTGCAGTATTGCTATATGGACACATGGTTAGACTCTTTGGATATCCAGATCACATGGTCTCGGACCGAGGCAGGCAGTTCATATCAGGAGCATGGAAGGCATTTGCAGAGCAAATGGGTGTGAAGCACTCACTTAGCACGGCTTACCATCCTCAAACTGATGGTCAGACAGAGAGAGTCAATCAGGTCATAGAGCAATATCTCAGGATGTACTGCAACTATGAGCAGAATGACTGGGCCAACCTGCTGGACACTGCGGCCTTTGTATACAACAACACAGTCCACAACAGCATTGGTGTCTCACCATTCTTTGCATGCTATGGATGGAACCCCAAAGCTCATCCTGACATCCCTCAACGACTAGGAGTCAATGACCCAGATCGCTTCGAGTACCTCATGGATGGAAAGGAGCGTTGCAAGTACCTCCAGGAGCAGATCAGAGAGGCACAACGTAGATCAGTAGACCAGTATAACAGGAAGCACAAGGACATTGAGTTTAAGGTGGGTGATATGGTCTATATCAACCGCCGAAACTGGAAGACATGGAGACCCACACCCAAGTTGGATACCCGGTTTGCAGGACCCTACCCAGTTCAGGAATGGGTAGGACGCCGAGCTTACCGAATCACATTGCCAGCAAACCTTAGGGTGCATGATGTGTTCCATGTCTCCATGCTCGAGCCAGCAAGAACAAGTTCTCTTCCTCAACGTGCTGAACAGCCCACCATGCCACCACTTCCAGATGAGGACCTCGGCTTCGAAGTCGAAGCACTCATCGACAAGCGTTCACACAATGGGACTACAGAGTACAAGGTGTTGTGGAGAGGGTACTCAGAAGAAGCTGCTTCATGGGAACCAGTAGAGAACCTCAACTGTCCCGACCTCATCCAGGAGTATGAGGTGTCGGAGGGGGGACGAGTGAGTAGACAAAGTAGAGAAAGGAGGAGAGAACAGGAGGAGTAGAGAGAGGAGGATGACGTTGAGAGAAGGAGGAAGGATGACGGGGGCGATGTTGTCAAGGAAGAGGAGGAGTCAGCATGAACCAGACCAGAGCATGCCTCGACGGAGCTCGGCTCTTAAGAGGGGGGTAGTGTCATGGGCCTGGATGCTCAAGAAGCAGGAGGGTCACTGGTTCATATGGACGGAGCACAGGTATTGAAGACCTAGTCGATACCAGTAGAGAGCATGGTCGTAGTGCAGTCTCCATGGAGACCATGGACTCCTATGGATTCACATGCAAAGGAGCACTGAGCCCATATGCGAGGAGGACCAGGCACAGCCACGAGGAGGACCAAGCTCAAGGAGCAGGCACAGCCACGAGGAGGACCAAGCTCAAGGAGCAGGCACAGCCACGAAGAGGACCAAGCTCAAGGAGCATGCAGATGGTTACCACTCAGGGGCTCGAGAGACAAGAGCCAAAGGAACTGTCACTGATCAAAGGAGGAGGAGCAGTGTCGAAGGAGTCGACACCAGGTCATGAGGAGGAGGAGCAGTGTCGAAGGAGTCGACACAGCTCAAGAGGCACAGGGGTGCCAAGCAGGAGAGGCCCCTGAGCAGTACTCGATGAAGAAGGTACTCTCTGGAGAGAGAGCAGGAGCAGCATCGCTGGCGATGCTGAGAAGAGGTATATAACCATGCTTTCTCATCAATAGGTCGAGTGGATCCTCATCCACTCTACTCACCATACAACTAGTCAATACTTTAGAAACACAAGTACTCATTAGTTACAGTCAGCATAGCAGCAATCTATCAAGGTTGCTCCTCATCGTAGTGTGTGTGTTGTATCACCACTACCTGACGTCCGAAGGCGCCCATAGCAGGTTAGCGGTCCGGATATAGATAGAACCGAAGGCAGTAGTCCACTGCGGTCCGGGGATCACTTCAAGCATCAAGTCAACACACTGGACACTCGTGTTGACGCCACCAACCTTATCACCAACACCATCAACCTCATTATCATCGACGCCACCAACCTTATCACCAACACCATCAACCTCATCATCATCAACACTCACACCAGACCTTGGTGTCATCATAACATTGATATTGATCGTGCCGAGCTACCCCTGAACGGAGTGTCCACAGAGGTCAGCCGAAACCTACGATAGTATATACAACAAACGCCACCTGCTGTCACTGCACAACTTGATAGTCACCGAGTATCTCGAGACAATAGCTGTCGCACAGTTTGATAGTCACCGAGTATCTCGACAGACCGACCTGGGTTTCAGGCGCGAGACCCCTGACAAGGAGCAACCTTGATAGATTGCTACTATGCTGACTGGAACTAATATATACTTATGCTGAAGTGATAGCTAGTTATGGTGTGTGTAGAGTGGATGAGGATCCACTCAACCTTTGATGATGAGAAGGTATGGTTATATACCTCTTCACAGCGTCGCCAGCAATGCTGCTCCTGCTCTCTCTCTCCAGAGAGTACCTTCTTCATCGAGTACTGTACAGGGGGCCCCTCTAGCATCACTCCTGTCCTCCTTGAGCTATCCTGCTTGCTTGGCACCCCTGTGCCTCTGTGTCGACTCCTTCGACACTGCTCCTCCTCCTTGCTATCCTCCTTGCTATCCTGCTTGTTTGGCACCCCTGTGCCTCCTGAGTGGTGTCAACTCCTTCGACACTGCTCCTCCTCCTCAGGACCTGCTTGCCAGTTCCCTATACACTGCTCCTTCTCCTTTGACTGGTGATGGTTCCTTTGGTTCTTGTCTCTCGAGCCCCTGAGTGGTAACCATCTGTATGCTTCTTTGAGCTTGGTCCTCCTTGTGGCTGTGCCTGGCCCTCCTCACATATGGGCCCAGTCCTCCTTTGCATGTGAGTCCATAGAAGTCCATGGTCTCCATGGAGACTGCACTATGACCATGCTCTCCACTGGTATCGACTAGATCTCCGATACCTGTGCTCCTTCCATATGAACCAGTGACCCTCCTGCTTCTTGAGCATTCAGGCCCATGACACAGTGCACACACACACGAGGGATTTGAGTTTGCTCACCAAATGGATTGGTGAAAGCAGAGGCAAAACAACTAAGAAAAGAAGGGGCGGAAATGTCAGTAACCATCAGGAACTGAAAGGGGGGGTCAGGAAGTGCTACTTACAGAACACCCAAATTAAAGCAATGATGACATTGCCAACTGGGCCACAGCATGCAACCCTCCATGAGGCAAAGCATAACCAAATGCTGAAGATGTCTTGCTGGTAGAGAACTGGCAGGCACATCCCAGTTGTGGGGATAGTACCCATCCACAACTCGAGTCAAGAGGTTGGCCATGATGAACCCCTCAGCCCAACCAGCAATCTCCTGGTTAGAAGGGAGATGCCAATCCAGAGGAGGAGGGGGTGGCATTTGGCACCCAACCCAGCAAGGAGGAGGAGTCAGAGGCTGGACCTCTGGACGGAAGACTGGGGTCCCAGCTCTGGAAGCAGTCAGGACTGCATCGATCACCTCATCAGCAGTGGGAGGAGGAGTTGGGGATCTAGCCAACTCAGCCTCCCAAGCAGCTTGGCACTCTGGAGTGGTAAGGTCCAGTGGGGGGCATGTCACATCAACCTTGTACAAGTCAACAGGGGGGGAGGCTGGTGAGTAATCCTCCCCCATGGGATTGGGCTCAAGGTGAGCTGGAAGAGGAGAGGGAAGGGGGCTGGGGACAATGATGTCATCATCCATCCCCAAGAAAAGAGGCTCCAGTGGCGAGAGAGCCACTGGAGAAGCGAGGGGATTGGCCACATGGGCTGGGATTGGAGAGGCAGGAGGATTGGCCCCTGCAGGGGGTCCTCACGAGGTTGCAACCAGACCATGATCTGGTGACAACGAGGGGGAGCTGCTGCCACCTCAGAAGGAGGGGCACTAGCAGCAGTTTTGGACTGAGTGCAATAAGGTGAGGGAGCCATGGTACAAAAGGGGTTGGATGGCAAGGGAATGATGTGGTGGTACAGTACAGACATGGCGACAGACTTGCCTCAATGGAGCTCGGCTCTTAAGAGGGGGGTAATGTCATGGGATGGGATGTGCAGGAAGCAGGAAGATCTGTCAAGTCATATGAAGGGAGCACGGGAATCGAGGAATCAGGCAGAGCATAGGACTTGCAATAGAGTCCACCGAGATCTGTAGGAGAAGCAGCTCTAAGGCAGATCTCACCTAGATCAGTACAAGCAATAAGGGTATCATGAATCACACCAGAATCTGCAGTACACTGGATTGTATGACATGTCTGGCAGAGATCAATGGCAAGGGTGTTTGTATGATAAAGGCTAAGAGGGGAGGACACCTGAGGTCACCACTGGATGAGGTAGGGCCCTACACGACATTGAAGTTGGCGCCAGCAGGTGGGCACCAACAACAGGGAGTAATGAGAAGGGGGGTGAGTTGCCACTCAGATGAAGTGGAATGGCCCCTGACAGAGATGAAGCAGTGAGAGGCCATCCTTCCACAGAGGACAAGGGATACAACATGAGCAGCAATCTAGTGTGGATGGGAAAACAGTGGGAAAGATGAGAAGGGGACATGGAGTTGAGGAGGCCTCACAGGACAGGAGCAGTGTTGCAAGTGACACTGCTAGGATGGTATATAACCATGCTCCTCATTGTAACAAGTGAGTGGATCCCTATCCACTCTACACCATACACAACTAGTTATCACTTCACTTAAGTATACATTAGTTACAGTCAGCAAAGTCACAATCAAGTAGATTGCTTCCATTGTAGCACATTTGTTGTATCACCACTCCCTGACATCTGAAGGCAGTTCATAGCAAACCAGCAGTCCGGATAAAGATAGAACTGAAGGCAGTCATCTGCTGTGGTCTGGGGATCACCTCAAGCATTCAGTTGACACACTGGACACTCATGTCGATGACATCAACTATCTCAATCACACCAGACCTTGGTGTCTTGCAATACATTCAAGTTATTGATTGTGCCAAGCTACCTCTGGATGGAGTGTCCACAGTGGTTAGTTGAAACCTGCAATAGCAAAACCATTACTGCATCTTTGGGTGAGAAAAGTGATAGAGATGTCTCTACTACATATCTCAACAAGAATTGTAATACCTCTAGTGTTGTTGCATATCTTGACAGGATTCGTAATAGATGCATTTCTATTACAGATATCAGGTTTTGGGCACGCAACCTCTGACAGCCTTCTCTGCTCAGCCTCCCGTGGTTTCCTTGTAGTCCATTGGCTCGTTCCATCTCAGTGGAAGCTTCTTGTGATGCATTTGGTGAAATCAACCAGGTAGTCTTATTCTGGTTGATTTCAGTAAAATCAACCAGACAAGTGCAATGCAGTTGTTGTCAGAGAAATCAACTGGAAGCCCATGATCTGGTTGATTTCGCAATTTGAGCACACAAGGCTCCTCATACCTCATTTCGGATCTTCCTGCGCAGTTTCCATGACAGCACCTCCAAACACATAAATACTATCACTTCGCTATAAGCATACAAGTGGATCCTTATCCACTCTACTCTTTATCTTACTAACTCTTTACTTGACTTGTATCATTGCAATAGCATAGCTTTGCAACAACATCTCAAATGTGTGTGTTGTATCACCATCAGACATCAACTTTAGGTGGTGTTCCTCAACACCTGCAGTCCAGTTTATCACTGTAGGCAATGTTGCTCAACACCTGCAGTCCAGTTGGTTACTGTAGGCAGTGTCCAAAGCACCTGTGGTCCAGTACCTCCTGTCATCTGCAGGCAGTAGCCTTATTGTGGTCCAGGCAACATCAAGAGCATCAAGCACTACAAACACTCATGCTGTAATAGGAGAGTTGTGTCTGATACCACTCTCACATCAACATGTTACAGACCTGCTGCATAGCCTCTGAATGGAGTGTTCAAGGTGGTCAGCCAAAATCTACCAGAACTCAACTGTCTGGTTACTTTCAACTGAAACATACCAAATAGATCATACTCAATTGATCTCACCAAAGTCAACCGGAAGCACCCAATCTGGTTTCAGGCGCACGACCGCTTACAAGATCTCAATAGGATCAGTAGTAGTTATCTCTCTACTACAGATATCGGGTTTCAGGCCCGCGACCTCTGACACAGACCTCCATGCTTAGTAAGCACTTGCTCCACGCGATGCTCCATTGACTTGATCACAGGATTGATATGTTTGAGTGTGATCTGGGTGTTCCACACTTCCTCTGCAGCTCTTGCAAGTTCATCCTGGGTTTTTGGTACCAGCAAGCACTTACCAAGCAAGTTTTTGAATACATACCATATGTTCTCAATAGCATTAAGGTCTGGTGAAGCTGGTGGGTGTTCCTGCATCTGTATGTTGTATTCAGCCTGCTGTTGCTTGCAGATAGCAGCCTGATGACAGCTGCTGCCATCTTCAACAACCGACAGGCCATCAGGGTATGCACTAACAGCAGTTACAGCATCCCAGAGCAGGCTGTTGATGATCCAATCGCAATATCTGACAACTGTGAGGTTCTCAGCAGGATCCCATTGATTACCCAACCCTAGTCGCTTCTTTCTTGGAGCCAATGGGAGTGTCACGGGTCTGAATGTGCCGGAAGCAGGAAGATCCATCGATTCATATGAAAGGAGCACAGGAATCAAGGAATCGGGCAGATCATAGGATTTGCAGCAGAGTTCACCGAGATCTGTAGTAGAGACAGCTCTATTACAGATCTCACCTAGATCAGTGTGAGTGAAGTTGATATCACAAATCCCACCAGAATCCGCAGTAAGCATGATTGTATGGCAGATTCCACAGAGATCAGTGGCAAAGATGGTCATATGGCAAACTTCACATGTGAAGGAGGACCAAGCGTTGCCAAGAAGGGGACCAAGCTCAGAAGTGTCAGGGGTCTCGCACCTGAAACCCAGGTCGGTCTGTTGAGATACTCGGTGACTATCAAACTGTGTGACAGCTATTGTCTCAGTATCAGTCTTGATGAGCTAGTTGCTCGGCAACTATCAAGTTGCATGATGACAGTGGGTGGTGTTCATTGTATATACTATTGTAGGTTTCGGCTGACCTCTGTGGACACTCCATTCAGGGGTAGCTCAGCATGATCAATATCAATATGTAGGTTATGTTGACACCAAGGTCTGGTGTGAGTGTTGATGATGATGAGGTTGATGGTGTTGGCGATAAGGTTGGTGAGTGTTGATGATAATGAGGTTGATGGTGTTGGTGATAAGGTTGGTGGCATCAACACGAGTGTCCAGTGTGTTGACTGATGCTTGGAGTGATCCCCAGACTGCAGTGGACTACTGCCTTCGGTTCTATCTTAATCCAGACTGCTGGTTTGCTATGAACTGCCTTCAGATGTCAGGTAGTGGTGATACAACACACACACTACAATGAGGAGCAATCTTGATAGATTACCACTATGCTGACTGAAACTAATGTATACTTATGCTGAAGTGATAACTAGTTATGATGTGTGTAGAGTGGATGAGGATCCACTCAACCTTTGATGATGAGAAGGTATGGTTATATACCTCTTCACAGCATCGCCAGCAATGCTGCTCCTGCTCTCTCTCTCCAGAGAGTACCTTCTTCATCGAGTACTGTACAGGGGGCCCCTCTAGCACCACTCCTGTCCTCCTTGAGCTATCCTGCTTGCTTGGCACCCCTGTGCCTCTGTGTCGACTCCTTCGACACTGCTCCTCCTCCTTGCTATCCTGCTTGCTATCCTGCTTGCTTGGCACCCCTGTGCCTCTTGAGCTGTGTCGACTCCTACGACACTGCTCCTCCTCCTCAGGACCTGCTTGCCGGTTCCCTATACACTGCTCCTTCTCCTTTGACCAGTGATGGTTCCTTTGACTCTTGTCTCTCGAGCCCCTGAGTGGTAACTGTCTGCATGCTCCTTGAGCTTGGTCCTCTTCGTGGCTGTGCCTGGCCCTCCTCACATATGGGCCCAGTCCTCCTTTGCATGTGAGTCCATAGAAGTCCATGGTCTCCATGGAGACTGCACTATGACCATGCTCTCTACTGGTATCAACTAGATCTCCGATACCTGTACTCCTTCCATATGAACCAGTGACCCTCCTGCTTCTTGAGCATTCAGGCCCATGACAAGAAGCATGCAACTGGTTACCACTCAGGGGGTCACAAGACAAAGACCAGGAGAACTGTCACCAGTGGGAGGAAGAAGAGCTGTGACAAGGACACCAGCAAACAGGTTATGAGGAGGAAGAGCAGTGTCAAGGGAATCGACACCTAGTTTGAAGAATGACAGATAGGAGGGATGAGGAGGAGGGGCAGTGTCGTGGGCAATGCTGCAGGCATGGTATATAACCATGCTCCTTGTCACAACAAGTGAGTGGATCGCCATCCACTCTACACCATATCAACTAGTTAATACTTCAAGCTTAAGTACATATTAGTTTCAGTCAGCATAGTCACAATCAAGTAGATTGCCTCTCATTGTAGCACATGTGTTGTATCACTGCCCTCTTACATCTGAAGGCAGTTCATAGCAAACCAGTGGTCCAGATTCAAGATAGAACTGAAGGCAGTAGTCCACTGCAGTCCAGGGATCACCTCAAGCAATAGTCAACACACTGGACACTCATGTCGATGCCACCAAGCATTCATACTCACACCAGACCTTGGTGCCAGTACAGTTCATATCATTATTGATTGTGCTGAGCTACCTCTGGATGGAGTGTCCACAGTGGTCAGTCAAAATCTGCAATAGCACAACCCCAATCACAGATTTGAGTGAGTAAAGTCATAAGGACATTGCTATGGCATAACTTGACAAGAATTGTAATACTACATATACAATCACATATTTTGACAAGATCTGTAATAGAAGCGGTCCTACTACAGATCTCAGGTTTCAGGCGCACGACCTCTGACAGGGAGCACAACCAGCGGGGTTTAAAGGTTGTATGCAATGCCAGCCCATACCTGGATGCTGAAATGGCTGGAACGGAACATCAGAACCATGTTGTTGATGTCTTCTTGAGTGTTTTTCTGGTGACTAACCCATGTGCATCCAGGCCAGTAGCCAACCTCAACAGCTGCCTTGTCTGTGAACAGCACACCCCTCCAATCAGTGGAGCCATTAGCCTTGGGCCATTCTAGATGTTTATGCTGGTTTTTGGATGTCAGAAACAGCTTTTGAAGCACAATCTGGTGGTTAATACTGGCCCAGTATGCTGCTTTCCAGAGCTGCATTATTGGAATGCTGCCAAGCAATGCTGACAGCTGTTGCCATGATAATAATGGGTTTTTGAGTACCTCACACTGAAGGTATCAGTCCAAGGTAGCTGTCCAGGAGTGCAGACAGCCAGATTGTGCTTTTGTTTCAAAGGTACCACACTCCTTAAAGTTATGGATGGTCTTGTGAACTGCTGTCTTGGAAATGCTGCTTAGCTCCACAATTAGTCAAATTGGCAGCCCAGTATCATGCATTGCAATGATTGAAGCACACTTGCTTGGAGAGAGCTCATTGCCACAGACCATATCAGTGTTTGAAGTGTTCTTGATTAGTATGATGGTAGTGCTATTGCTCAATGACGATGACAACCCAAATGTGGGGGTAACCAGCTAAATCGGGAAATTACCCGATTGTCCTCAAACTTATGCACAGGGACTGTACAAACGGTATGCTCCACCCAGGCTAGCGGGGACTAGTGTTACAATCGAGTCGAGTACGACTCAATGAGAGCAGGTGGTGAGTGGTCCAAAGGAGGGGGACGTCGATCTACGGTGCGCCTCCACAATGTATGCTAGAAGTCGATAGGGTAGGAACCGATCAAGGCTTATTCCGCAACTCCCTCAACTTCTGCTGCAAATCCCTCAACTCCTTCGACACGCTATCATCCTTCACCACCTTCTTTTCCGCTTCCGCTCTGGCTCTATCTCTCTGTGCCAACCACTGCGCCTGTTGATATGACATCCTCGCTCTCGCTCTCTGCGCCTCCTCAAAGCTTTGTGGTTTTCCTGTCTCGCCTGCCTTCCCATCTTTTCCTTTATTGCTTAGCGGGAACGGCGAAGGCTCATCATGAGGTTCTCCGTGATCCTGGTTCCATTCGCTCTCTCGCATCCCTAATGGCGGTTGGTACGGCGGAATATGTCGACCTTGTACGCGATGTGGCATGTGATCGATCTCGTGGATCATTCGGTCGACTATGCGGAAGAAGAGGGGCGATTGGGCGAGTTTGCGGGTTAGAGCTTGGGTGAGGAATGTTGCGACTATTCGCACTAGGTAGGGGGGGAGTTGTGCCATGGTGGGGTTTTGGTGACGCGAGACCCAGCGAAGGGCTGCCGAGGATGGCTGATGCCTTATGCTAGGTTGTTCCGTGAGAGGGTATCGGAGTTCGTGAGTTTGAGTGAAAGGGAAGGAGGATTAGGAAATTGTCAGCTATGGTATGGCTGAGTTAAATGTTCTGAAGCGGAATTCGGCTTCCTTTTACTCCACATTTTGGGCGAACCGGCCGAAAAATTTCAAGAAGGGCGCACCGCGGGTGTGTTGTTCTCTCAATTCGTTGAACCCGGGCTTTCTTCCACTCGGCCATCATCACCAACTTCACACCTCCCTCTCTATTCCTAAACACGGACTCAGAGCTCATTTGAGCGATCCCAGTCTCTCAAAATGGCCAGCTTTGCCGATGAGCTGCTCGCCGATTTCGGCTCGGACGAAGAGCAAGAGATCGCAGCCCAGGCCAACGGCGAGGCTCAGCCATACATCAGCACTTCCACAGCCGACGACAGCATCAATGGCCGCAAACGAGCGCATTCCGAAAATGGTCAATCCACACCACATACCGGAGATCACCGCGAGTTCAAACGCTTCCACCTCGATGACGCAGACCTCGACGACCTCGAAGACGGCAGTGATGATGACGACCAGATGCAAGTCACCGACTCCGACACCCCCAGCACCACCTCAACCTCCACCGCCCAAACCCCTGCCATCCAACTCGGCCGCAACTCCATCCTCCCCACCGCCGAACGCGACCAATCCGAAGTCAACTCCCTCGACCTCGCCTCTACCACTTCCATCCGCACCCTAACCTCACTCCTCCGCTCGGGCAGTCAAGTTCAATCCGTCCTCTCCCAGATCGACCACTACATGTCACTCCCCGAACCCGACCTCGCTGGCGTCCTAGAAGATTCACCAGAATACCACCTCATCGTAAAAGCAAACAACATTGCAGTTGATGTGGATAACGAAGTCATGGTCGTCCACAAGTTCATTCGTGATCACTACTCCCCTCGCTTTCCTGAGCTTGAAACACTGATTCCTAGTCCATGGGAGTATATTCAGGCGGTGAAAGCTATTGGGAATGATGAAAGTATCAGTTCTGCGAAATTAGAAGGCGTACTGCCGCATGGGACGGTAGTGGTGATTAGTATGACTGCTTCTACTACCTCTGGTCGGCCTTTACCTCAGTCGGAGTGGAATGCGGTACAGGAGGCACTGGAGATGGTATTTGAGTTGGAGGCGGTTAGGAAGAGAATTTTAGAGTACGTTGAGTCGAGAATGGCTTTTGTCGCTCCGAATCTCTCCGCGGTGGTTGGTACACGTACCGCCACAAAACTGCTCGGTGTAGCAGGAGGGTTGGAAGGATTGTCCAAGATCCCCGCATGTAACGTCCACCTCCTCGGAGCAGCTAAAAAACACGCAATCGGACTCTCCACGGCAGGAGCAAACTCCTCTCGCAGCAACGGATTCATCACTCAATCCCCCCTCATTTCCGAAACACCAGACGACTATAAACGACAAGCGATCCGAATGGTCGCCGCCAAAGCACTCCTAGCTGCACGTATGGATGCTGGTAAAACAACTTCCCGCGACGGCTCGTACGGGTTGAAGCTGCACGAAGAACTTTCGAAAAAGCTGGAAAAGCTTCTCGAACCGCCCCCGCAGAAACTCGAAAAAGTTCTCCCAGTCCCCAAAGAAGGTTCTGGCGGGAAGAAACGTAGAGGAGGTAGGAAAGCTAGAAAAGCGAAGGAAAGGAACGGAATGACAGAGTTACGCAAAATGCAGAACAGAATGGAATTCGGGAAGCAAGAAGAAGAAGCGTTTGGATATGACGAGAGTGTTGGATTGGGTATGATTAGTAGTAGCGCCAGTGGGAAGGTGCGGGCGCAGGTAGCGGAGGAGAGGAGTAAGGGGAAGATCAGTAAAGCGAATAAGAATAGACTTGCTGCGTTGAGGGGGTCGAGTGGGACAAGTTCGGTGCTTGGAGGTGGGGGAGGAGGGGGAGGGGTGAATGGGACAGCAAGCAGTTTGAGTTTTACGCCTGTACAGGGGATTGAGTTGGTTGATCCTAGTAAGAGGCGGAACGGCGGAGCAGGGGCAGAGGGGGAGAATGCAAAATGGTTCAAACAGGGTCAGTTTTCGTTATTGCCTGGTGCAAAGGGGACAGCATTACCGGGGTCTATGCATCCTCCGCCACCACCATCGAAGTGATTCTGCATCGCAATCTTGTACTTGTATCGCTCAATACCATCATCAACCACCACAAAGACATGTCTCGTGATCATGATCAGAACAAACGAATGCATTCCAATCCCAAAAATTAAAAAAACAAAAAACAAAAAAAAAAAGTAGTTGAAGATAGAGGCACCACTTCGTTGGGGCCACGATCATGCTCCCTTCGTACAGGTGTATAGCAGTTGAAGTTACGCCGGAATAACCAATATGCAAGAAAGCCGAGTCACCGACAGACCGAGGATCACGCATGCATGGTAAATCATGTGGCGACCAATCAAGATACGTTTAGAAAGAAGAATGCTGAGGCTAAAGGAAAACAACGCCAAGGCTCCTCATGACACACCTAGTTCGTAAGGTGATGCTAGTCTTTCTCATGGGTGAAGCAAAGGTATATATACTCACACAATACTGTAGTTTTTAGTCCAAGTTAATCTCAAGCATTGCAGATACTATACACCTGTGGGATAAGAGCTAGAACGTAGCTCTACGAGGCGGTGCCATGCAGCTTCAATCTTCCACTATAGCAACTTCAATGCTTGTATTACTCGAAAGAAAATGAGACTACATGAGTATATATGTATGCCTTGACACCATCTCTGAGAACGTTGAACTGCCTATAACGAGTCGAGTGTCTCTCCTGCAGAGCTGGTGAGCCGTTGCGCATAAACCCTGGAAATTCCGACATTCTTCAACTGAAGCACACTCATATACAGCTCACACATAAACTGTCCCACGATTTTAGATGTCACCACACATCACTCCAATGCTCAATAGCCATATGTTGTATTGCCACACTGTCTGATATTGTCTGAAAGCTCTGCTTCTTCTCTCCAAGACTGTGTAATTGATATTGACATTGCATGAGAAAATTGTGCTTCAAAAAAGAGTCAAGAATAATATTATTGTGGGACAGTAAATGGAGCATGCCACCAAATAGCAACACCACTCCATTCCTGATCTTGTGGGCTTTCGATTACAATGAAACCTGCAATGGAACTTGGTGGGTGCCTTCATGTACATCGAAAGTAGTGATGTGGAAAGTTTCAGCTCAATCAGATGACTGTGAGGAATCTGGTGGTGCTTCCAGTCTGACACCATCATATCTATTCCATCATGCCTAAAACCACCCCAGAGAAGCACAGATCTGCACTCTTTCACCTCCACAATGGGGAATCTATCAGATCAGTCACCAAGCAACTTGGTTTGAGCAAGTCTACTGTGAATTGCATCAGCAAAAGACCCCAACTGATGTTCCAAAGTCAAAGGGGGGCTGGCTGAAAAAACTCCAGCCCCATCATGTTCACTTCCTGGACCACTATTTCAAGCTCAATTGCACCTCCACTGTCAGGAAAGCATGTCAAGCACTGCAGGAGACATTCCAAGTCAAAGCTTGCCCAATCACAGTAAGGAAAGCACTTCAATATTGTCACTACAAAGCACAGAGGTTGGTGAAAAAACCAAAGCTACTCAAGAGACACTACATAGCCCACTGTAAATTTGCCAATGAGCACAAGGATATTGTCATGGGACCGGATGGATGCGCAGGAAGAATGGAACTCATATGAAGAGATCTGGTGCAACCATTGTGGATCAGGCAAGAGTAGAGTTCTGACAGAGTTCAGTGAGATCAGTAGGAACAACAGCTCTATGACATAACTCATTGTGATTGGTAGGAGCATGGGTCTTGTTACAGGAGTAGAATCAGCAGGAAAGTAGAGTTCCAACAGGGATCAGTGAGATCAGTAGGATCAACAACTCTATGACATAACTCATCATGATTGGTAGGAACATGGGTCCTATTACAGGAGTCAGTAGAATCAGCAGAATCACACTCACTACAACAGGCCTCACAGGAATTGGTTTGAGAGAAACCTCTATCACCAATATGGTGAGGGGATGACAGAGAACAAGGGAGGAGTTGCCACCATATGAAGCAGGGACCTTGCACAATGATGAAGTTGGTGCAGGCAGATGGGCACTAGTGACAGGAGGGAGATGAAAGGATGCAGGTTGCCACTCAGATGAAGTGGGAATGGCCCCTGACTATGATGAAGTAGCACAATGGCCATCCATCCACAGGAAGAGAGGAAAGTGGTGCCAACAAGCAGCAGCCCAATGTGGATGGAAAACAGTAGGAAGGATGAGGAGGAGACATAGGGTTGAGGAGGCCTCACAGAACAGGAGCAGTGTTACAGGCAACACTGCAAGGATGGTATATAACCATGCTGCTTGTCATAGCAAGTGAGTGGATCACCAACCACTCTACACCATATATTACTAGCTATAACTTCACATAAGTATACTTAGTATTCCATCAGCAAGTTGCAATCACAATAGATTGCTGTAAGTGGTCGTGCGCCAGAGACTAGTTTTGGGTGTTATTTGTTTGGTATAGATGGGGTTGATTGAGTAAGGACTACTTGGTATGTTTCAACTTAAAACATAACCAGATGTCTTTGACTGGTAAGTCTTGGCTGACCACCTTGAACACTCCATTCAGAGGTTGTGTGGCACATATGCTGTTTGTTGGAGAGTGAGTGATACCCTCTCCCTACAGTACAAGTGTTTGCAGTACTGTTGATATTGCTCTTGGATGTTGTCTGGACCATGATATGTTAATTGCCTACAGAGAACAGGAGTTACTGGACTGCAGGTGTGAGTTACTGCCTACAATAACTTAACTGGACTGCAGGTGTCGAGCAACAATGCCTACAGCAAGGGACTGGACTGCAAGTGTTGAAGAACACTGCCTACAGTTGATGCCTAACAGTGATACAACACACACATTTGAGGGTCATTGCAAGAGCACTGCTATTGCAATGGTATGAAACTTAAGAGTCAAGTAAGTAAGTAAGTAAGTAGTGTGTAGAGTGGATGAGGATCCACTCATATGCTATGGTGGAATGAGAGTATTTATGCATTCAATTGGTGTTGCCTGCAACACCTATCCTGTTCCCCTTGAGGGGCCTTTGTCCCCTGTTCAACACTGTCTCTCCTACTGGCATTGATCCTGTTGATGCTGCACCCCTACCATCTGCACAGCATACTGGTTATGCAACACTGTCCTTTCACCTTCATGCTCCCTTTCTGCTTGATGATGTGTGATGGCCCCATCAACACAGCTCCTCCTCTTCATTTAACCAATCTGTTCACTGCTTCCTTCTTTCTTCACTGGCAACCACCTTCCTGTCCTTATCTCATGAATCCCCTTAGCCACCTGTTGGACCTTGTGACCAAACCCCTTGGTTATGCAGTCACCCCCTGTGCTTGGTCCTGTGTGGCTATATGCATGCACCCCTCAAGCAGTAACCATCCACATGATGCTGAGCTTGGTCCCCCACTCCTACATGTGGTTATCTCTGTGTGCTTCTCCTTCTAATGCCAGTACCTTCCTTCCTGAATCTCCTGATACTTGCTCATATCAGCCGACTTGCTGTGGCATGCTGTTCCAGCTGATTCTGATCAATCCTTGTGAGATTAACCTGGAACCCAGAGTTTGGTTGATCTCGTAAATCATATGCACTACCAGCCCAATTAGCTCCATCAATCCCCAATGATTTGGCACTGATCAACTTGGCGCTTCCTTCATATGTTGATCTGCTGATCCTGTGCAACATTACCATGAATGCCGTTGGTCAATTTGGCGCACCCTTCTTGCGCTGGCCCGCTGGCCCTGTGACAATTGCTTCCATTGTAGTGCATGTGTTGTATCACCGCTCACTGACATCCAAAGGCGGTTCATAGCAACCTGCAGTCCAGATAACAATTGACACCAAAGGCAGTTCATAGCAACCAGTGGTCTGGCTTGTGATCATAGAACCAAAGGCAGTCATCCACTGCAGTCTGGGGATCACTTCAAGCATTCAGTCAACACACTGGACACTCATGTCAGTGCCAACAACATCATTCACACCAGACCTTGGTGTCATCATAATACATTCATAGTTATTGATTGTGCTGAGCCCTCTGGATGGAGTGTCCACAGTGGTCAGTCGAAACCTGTGATAGCAATCAATCTATCACAGATTCGGGCGAGGAAAGTCATAGAGGCCTCTCTACAACATATCTCAACAAGAACTATAATACACAGCATGCTACCACATATCTCGACAGGATATGTAATAGATGCATTACTATTACAGATATCAGGTTTCAGGCACGAGACCTCTGACAGATATGACTGTTGAGGATTGGAAGAAGGTTGTATAGTCGGACAAGACAAAGATCAATTTTTTCAGACCAGATGGTAAGCAGTTCTGTTGGGTTAAGAACACTGGCTTCAACAGTAAGCTTGTCAGGCCTACAGTCAAGTTTGGCAGTGGCTCCATCATGATCTGGGGCTGTATGACATGGGAAGGGGTGGGAGGTATGCACTTGGTACTGGGTATAATGAATTCAGACCAGTACATTGAAATCTTGAATGACAAGCTTGTGAAAACAATCTTGGATTTGCATCTTCAGCATGCATATACTGATATCATTTTTCAGCAAGACAATGACCCTAAACACACATCAAAGAAGAGTAAAAGGTGGCTGACAAGCAATAACATCAAGGTTATGGAATGGCCAGCACAGTTGCCTGACTTAACCCCATCAAACACCTCCAGCACCATCTCAAAATGCGACTCTCAAAGTATAGTACAATTGCAAAGTCCAGGGATGAACTGCTCAAGAGATGTGAGGCTGAATGGGCAGTGATCATGTCATAGGAGCCGGATGCGCAGGAGGTGGGAAGAAGTGAAGTCATATGAAGGAGTGCAGAAATCACAGGATCAGGCTAAGCGAGAGCTTAAGGAAGAGTTTGCTAAGATCAGTAGTAGAAGTGACCCCATGGCATAACTCATTGGGATCAGTAGGAACAATGTTGTTACTACAGGAATCAGTGGGAATCGCAATATCATGCTGAGTACAACAGATCTCATGGGAATCGGTCAGAGAGGCACCCCATCACTGATACAGCAAGAAGAGGTCACCAAACGAGGAGGAGACACCATCAGATGAGGCAGGGGCACTACAGTGATGAAGCCAGCAAAAGAAGGTGGGTGCCAAAGACAAAGAAGTGATGAAAGGGTGCGAGTTGCCACCCAGATGAGGTGGGACTGGCCCCTGATCGAGATGAAGCAGCCAGAGGCCATCCATCCAGAGAAGGCAAGGAGGCAGTGCCAACAAGTGGCATCACAAGGTGGATGGGGAGCATAGGAGGGACAAGGAGGATGAGCAGTGTTGCAGGTGACATTGCAAGAAAGGTATATAACCATGTTCTCTGTCCTAGCAAGAGAGTGGATCGCCATCCACTCTACACCATACACAACTAGTTATCACTTCACTTAAGTATACATTAGTTACAGTCAGCAAAGTGTAAGTGGTCGCGCGCCAGAGACTAGCTGAGGTTGATTGAGTAAGGTCTACTCGATATGTTTCGCCTAAATGTAACCAAGCGTCACTGCCTGGTAAGTCTTGACTGACTGCCTTGAACACTCTGTTCAGAGGTTGCATGGCACAAATGTTGTTTGTTGGCAAGTGGGTGATACACCCTCCCCTACAGTATGAGTGTTTGTAGTACTGTTGATAATGCTCTTGGACATTGTCTGGACTGCGATATGCTAATTGCCTACAGAGGATGGGAGTTACTGGACTGCTGGTGTGAATCACCACCTACAATAACTGACTGGACTGCTGGTGTTGAGCAACACCACCTACAGCAAGGGACTGGACTGCAGGTGTTGAAGAACACTGCCTACAGTAATGAACTGGACCGCTAGTGTGAAGAACACTGCCTACAGTTGTCAACTAATGGTGATACAACACACACATTGAGAGTCATTGCAAGAGCACTGCTATTGCAATGGTACATAACCAAGTAAGTAATAAGTAAAGTATAAAGTATAAAGAGTGGATGGGGATCCACTCATATACTATGGTAGAATGAGAGTATTTATGCATTCAGTTGGTGTAGCCCATGACACCTATCCTGCTCCTCTTGAGGGGCCTTTGTCCCCTGTTTGGCACTGTCTTGTCCTGCTGGCATCAATCCCATTGATACTGCACTCCTACCATTTTCACAGCATAAGGGTTATGCAACACTGCCCTCTTGCCTTCATGCTCTCCTTCTGCCTGATGATGTGTGATGCCCCCTTTCGACACAGCTCCTTCTCGACTTTATCTTGTGAATCCTTTTAGCCACTTGTTGAACCTCATGACCAAACCCCTTGGTCATGTGGTCACATCGGCACAGCTCCAAGTACTTGCTCATATTGGCCGACTAGTTGAGGCATGCTGATCCAACTGATCCTGACTGATCCCATGAGATTGATCTGGATTCCTGAAGTTTGATTGATCTCATAATTCATATGTGCTGCCAACCTGATTAATCTTGTTGATCCCCAATGGTTATTGGCTATGATCAATCTGGCACACCCTTCATATGTTGATCTTCTGCACACCCTTCATATACTGCTCTGTTATGTGACATTACCATGACTGCCACTTGATCAATTGGCACACTCTCTTGCACTGGCCAGCTGACCCTGTGACAGGATACTAATAGAGAGCATGCCAGACCACATCAAGGCGGTTCTGAAGGCCAAAGGAGGGAATACAAAGTACTAAGGTGTTCTCAAGGAGCACTCCATAAACTGTCCCACAATAATAAAAAAATTCAGCTCTTCTTCATAGCACAATTTTTTTAGTCAATGTCAATATCAATTCCACAGTCTTGGAGAGAAGAAGCAGAGCTTTCAGACAATATCAGACAGTGTGGCAATACAACATATGGCTATTGAGCATTGGAGTGATGTGTGGTGACATCTAAAATTGTGGGACAGTTTACGCGCGAGCTGTACATGGCCTAATTAAAGCTTACTCTTCTTCCCATCCAACTCCGCCACCCGCACAACAACCTTGCCACCAGACCTCTTATCAGCCTCAGCAAGCAACTCAAAGCCCTTCTCCGCTTGCCCCAACCCCTCCAAAACGGTATCCACCACGGGGACAATTCTATGTCTCTCCACAAACCTCACACTATCCGCAAACTCCTTCGCACTACCCATTGTGCTCCCCAGCACCTCTACATTCTTCAGTACCTCTCTCATCGTAAACGTCGTCTTCGGCGCAGCAGTCATACCGAACACAACCACCTTTCCACCAATTTTCAACCCTGCTTTCTGTGCCTGAGCTGCAATCTCTCCCCCTGCGCTATCAACTACGCAGTCAAGGTAGGGACGGGAGGCGGGGAGAAGGGAACGGATTTTAGAAGGCCAGGAGGGGTCTTTGTATTCTGTGCCTGCTTTTGCGCCGAGTTTCACTGCGCGTTCGATTTTAGCGGGGCTTCCACCAGTGACGTAAACGTTTGCGCCGGCAGCGACGGCCATTTGAAGGGCTAACATTGCAACTCCTCCTCCTACGCCTGTGAGGAGAAGGTTTTGACCTTTGCATACTTGGGCTTTGGTGAAGAGTGCACGGTAGGCTGTGACGCTGGCACAAGGTAATGTAGCTGCTTGTTCCGGGGTCAAGTGTTTCGGCGCAGGGACGATTTGATCCTTTTCCACAGCAACGTATTCTGCGAAACAGCCTACACCATTGGTTGGAGCGGTCGCACCGAGAATCCCAAATCCTTTGCCACCAAGACCGTTGGTTCGCTGCTCGTCGGATAGGCCTGGGAGCTCTGCTTCAGGCCCGTCCTTATCGGAAGCCCAACCGCGGGTCGGGGTCAACAACACAACTCCATCCGGGTGGTCGTTCGGGATGCTAAACCCCTCAGGTGCGACGATGGTACCTGCACCATCACATCCCATGGTAGCATTCTTGTACACTAGCCCTGGGTATGCTCCGATCATAGACCATTCGTCTCGTCGGTTGAACCCGGCTGCGAGAATCTTAACGAGGACCTGATCGGATGCGGGCTTAGGAGTGGGAACTTCGCGGAGAGCAGCGATGTTTCGAGCTCCCTTTTTGGGTTCGCCGGAAGGTTTCTCGAGTTGGAGAGCCTTCATGTTCAAATTGACACCAGAAGGGATGGCTGTGCGAGATGCGGAAGTGGGGTTGGTAGAGGTGGTGGAAGAGGTGGAGGTTGATGGGGAAGAAGGGTTGTCAAGAGCGTCGAAATACTGTTCGATAGCGTTTCGGACAGTATCTATGACTTCTTTGTCTTCGATTGTTGGTGGGAAGCTAGTAGTCGATGGGAGAGGAGAGGAGGAAAGGAACGAAGAAGGAGAGTGATGTTAGTGGAGCTTGTTCTTCGAGGGGCCGTGCGCACGCTTTTGGCGGAGAAAAGGAAATAAATCCGCAATCCAGCAGCGCGGCTATCAGCTGAACCCGGATCCTTCCTCGCTCTTTGCCTTTGCGATAATCGACTGATACTTACTCGACAGGTGCGCCTATTTGTACCACGCAATCCGATCATCGTACCACACAGAGACGGGGTAAAGTTGATCAGTACGGAACACAAGCCGAAATCCAACCCAGTCGGCTGTAGCGGATACTTACCTCTCTTCCCGCTCGCAGCATTTTCCACCGCCTGCCTCAAAGACCTCCTCAAAGTCTTCCCCGACCTCGTCTTTGGCAACTTCTGAGCTTCAATCAACCCACTCAACTGTGCAATAGGTCCCATCTCTTTTCTCACATGATCGTTGATACTTTTCAGCATCCCCTTCACCTCTTCACTCTCCACTGAATTCAATGCTTTTCCTGCATCTTTCGCCGTCGCTACCCTCGAGTGCGCCACAACAATTGCAAAGGGTGACTGTCCTTTCAATTTGTCGGGTGCACCAACAACTGCGCATTCGATGACGTCGGGGTGGGAGGTAACGACTTGTTCGATAAGCCCAGTGCCTAGGCGGTGAGCAGAGACGTTGATAATGTCGTCGGAACGAGCGAGGATGGAAACGTATCCGTCCTGGTCGATGATTCCTTGATCGCCTGTTTCGAACCAGCCTCCTTTTTGGGCGAAGGTGGAGAAATACGAGGAGAAGAATCGGTCAGGGTTGCGCCAAAGTCCGCCGAGGAAGGAAGGGGCGAGTGGGGGTGCGAGGACGAGGTTTCCCATTTGACCTTGAGGGAGTTCGCGACCGGAATCGTCGACGATGCGGACGTCCATACCGGGCATGGGGAGTCCAGCGGAGCCGGGGCGGGCAGAGAGAGGGCCAAAGGCGGAGGAAAGCATGAGACCTGTGATTGGTGATCCTGACTCGCTTGACCAGAAGTTCTACTCCCCGAACAACACATATGGAAAAGGTGTGAGTATTAGTGTGCAAACTCTCGGCATCAGAAGGGACGCGAGGAGGGGAACTTACATCATTAGTCTGAGCCCCAGGAGCAGCCAACTCCTTAAGTAGTCTTTCAAACTTGGCCACAATCTGAGGTTCACTTCTCTCTCCAGCCAAGAAGAGTGTTCTTAAGCTCCTCAAATCCAGCCCTGGTGCACGCATCAGTTTTGCATCAGCATCCTGACCGACAATAGCTCTGAGAGCAGTAGGGGCGCAGAACATTTGAGTAACCTTGTACTGCGAACAGATTCTCCACCAAATCCCTGCATCAGGAATCACAGGTTTACCTTCGAACACGATCGAAGTCGCACCCAGTAGCAGGGGGCCGTAGTGGATATAAGAATGTCCGACGACCCAACCAAGGTCAGAAGCACAAAACATGACATCGTTAGCGTTCATCCCGAACGTATGCTCGATAGAGTAGCGAAGAGCGACGATGTGTCCGCCGGACAATCGGCAGACGCCTTTTGGAGCTCCGGTTGTGCCGCTCGTGTAGATAGCTACCACCCGAAGTATTGAATGCAGTCATGTTAGTGAAAGGAAAGAAGGAAAGAATCCATGTAAGAGGAAAAGGAGGGGACTTACTGTAAATCGGATCCTCACTAGCAACTGGTACACATTCCCAACATGCCTCCCTCCCTCCCTTTTTCTCCTTTGTCAACTTCACTTCTCCTTCCCAATCCCATTCTGGCAAACCAGCCTTACCCTGTCCGCCCTCCTTTACCACCTCTGCGGGAGTGTGTCCCTTAATCGTATGTCTTCGCAAAAACAACAGGCCAGACTCAGGCTTATGTTCCGAAACCCTCAGTGCTTCATCCACCAACGGTTTATAATCAACCGGTCCTTTCGGTTCTAAACCACAACTAGCCGCAATGACCATTTTACATCCCGAATCTTGAATCCTCTTGGCCAACTCCTTCGGTGCAAACCCGCCGAACACAACCGAATGAACCGCACCAATCCTAGCACAGGCCAGCATAGCAATCGAAGTTTCAGGCACCATCGGCATGTATATCACGACCGCATCTCCCTTTTTCACCCCCTTGTGACGGAGGATCCCGGCGACAAGCTGAACTTGCTGGAGAAGTTCGAGATAGGTGAAGGAGCGGGAGGGCTGAGTTTGGAAGGCGAGTGGGGAGACGTGTTGGAGTGCGACGCGGTGGGCGGTGGGTGAGAGGGCTAGATGCGGGGTGTCGGGGGATGCGGTCACGGGGGCTGCTCCGGTTGGTTGCTCGAAACAATGTCGATCAACAGCATTGAAGCAAGTTGAGACTTGTGCATCGGGAAACCAGGTATGACCATTAGGATCGAGGTAAGCGGCATTCTTGTTGGAAGAAGGACCGTAGGCATTAGTGGGAGGTTTGTGCCAGTGAATGGAGCGGGCGGCTCGAAGCCAGAATTCATCTTTGTTGTCGATTGACTGACGATGGATTTGTACTTGGGGATGAGCTTGGACCATGATTGCTGATCTTGATTCGCGGTGTTGATGGAGTGATGTGGTGATGTGATGATGTCGTTGGAGAACGGAAGGGAAAGACAGGATCTGAGTTTTGTTTCGAAGCTGTGTCGCTCGGGCCGCTAGAGGAAGCGGTAGTCTAGAGTCCTGATTGCGGGGAGGCGAATGCTTTTTTCTCGAGAGAAAAGCATCTTGGCAACTGTGATGGCCTTGGCTTCGCTGAAGAAGAACGGGCAAGACAGCATTCAGGTTAGGAGCCCGGTAAAACTTCAAAAAGTGCGGGGAAAAAGGCGACTTTCGGCAATTACGCTTTTTGGTTTTGGCAGCTCTTTGCGCTTGGACCATCCTTTTTTCTCCACTTCTTCAAAGACTCGGTTTACCCACCCAAAGTGACATGTGACTGACATGTTCTTCGTCTTGTGACCACCCATCGTTCCAATAGGCTTGTTTCGATTGGAAGAAGCTTAGCCCTCACCCAGCTTCTTCAGTTGGTCTCCCCAGGCCCATCTATTCGGCGGCTGTCAGGAGCATCATCTCGAACACCACCACCATCTTCACCACCTCGAACAAAGGGCGATCGCAAATATGCCAGCCAAAATCCCATTCTTCCAACCCTCAGATCCGCTCAAACAAAAGTGGCTCGAAGCTACCAACCCTACCCGCATCTCGGCCCAGCTATACGTCTTTGCCCTACTCATAGCTATCGGCCTTCTACGGCACTACCTTTCCCCCACGTCTTCCAAAACTTCTACCATCTCAGACCACACATTTGGTTCGACAACTGCACCAACCCAACCCGGAGCAAAAGACGAATCTTTGGGCGAGATAGATTCGATCTTTATCTACCCGATCAAATCGTGCGCTGGAGTCAGTGTTTCAAGCGCAGTGCTGACTGGGCAAGGGTTTGAGTTGGATCGAAGATGGATGGTCATCGGGGAGAAGGATGGGAAATGGGATAAGATGAGTCTGAGAGAGGAGGCTAGGTTGACGCTTATTCAGCCTGAGATTGACGAGCAGCAGAATGTTCTCCGACTAAGGTTGAGCGACGTTGGCCAAAAGGAGGAGAGGAGGAAGGAGGTTTTGGAGGGAAGCGAAACCACTCTACGACCAACAGCAGCAGAACTTAAGGGATGGAAAGAAGTTCCAGCTGTAGAGATGTACGGTGATTACGCAGATGGCCGTGTAGCCTCTCTTCCCGCTCCCTCCAAGGCGGAGCTGGATGCAAGCAATTGGATCAGCTCTTTTCTGGGATATAAAGTGTTGTTGATCCACTTCGACACAACCTCGAACACAAAGCGAAAAGCTTTTCCCATCTTTAAACCTCCCTCCGACCCCACCTCGTGGTCTAGCAACGACAAAACAGAACTCCATCGAGAACGCGGGATTGAGTTTCAAGATGAATATCCGCTCCTAGTCGCCTCTGTTGAATCTCTTTCTGCTGTTCGATCACAACTCTCTTCCGCCCTAGATGGTAAGGGTGCGAGACCAATCACCCAACTCGATCCAAAAAAGTGGTCAGCACCGGATGCACTGAACATGGCAAGGTTCAGACCGAACATTGTTGTCAGCTCCGGTGTTGGACCTTTTAGTGAAGATAGTTGGGAACGCATTTGGGTTCTCCCCTCTGATGAAGGGGAGGAAGAGAAGAAGGCGATGCTGCAGTTGGTAGCGAGATGTCAAAGATGTCTCCTCACCGCTGTAGACCCTGTAACAGCGGAGAAGGATCCAAGTGTTGCATTAAAACTACTGAACAGGAGTCGGATGAGGGTGAAAAAAGTAGAAGGAATGAAGGGGGGAAATGGTAGAGCTGGACCTTGTTTTGGTATGTACGCCATCCCTCTTCCGCTAGATGAAGGGCTGTATGGAGGGCTGAACAAGGGTGACAAGATCAGAGTTAGGTGGAGGCCATACGAGCTGGATGATGAACCTGATCGCCAAGCTTAGCACTCTTTAACCGCATAGCAATGCAGACACACTGTTGAAATCAAGCCATTGCCTGCCGTTGCATGAAACGAGAATGGGATGATAATGAACAAAGTGAACCAACAGAAAGGCTAGTGCGATCGCTCCAAATATCTCGTAGCAGCAATGTAACCGGACACTGCAATCACCACCATCACCGAACAAATGCCGGCAAACCATCTGAGATTCTCCACTCCCTCTCCCGGCACATTGACATTCATACCCCACAAACCAGTAATGACGTTCATCGGAACAATCACTGTACCCAACGCTGTCAACTTGCTAAGCACGTCGTTGATCTGGTTGTTCGCATCGGTCATTTCGATCGAGATCTGCGCGAGGTAGTTCGAGTGTGATCTGGAAAGAATCTTTTCGTAGTGATTCAAGTTTTGCGTCATGGTAATCAAGTGATCCTGAATATCACTCAGATAGAGACCGATATCTGACTTGGGAGCAACGCTCCAATTCTCGTTGCAACGCTTGGCGAGACCCTTGACGACATCGGCCTTATTGCCCATCAACCGCAACAAACCCATAACCTTCTTTCGGCAGGTACCGATACGTCGTAACATATCCGACTGTTCCGCCTCCTTCAAAATGAGTACGAGTTCATCAATCGAGTCTACTTCGTACTCGATACTCTGAATCAAGGGGCCGAAAGCGTCGGTGATATCGTCGATAAGCGCGTACGAGATCCAATCCGAAGTGACGTTGATGTAGTCTTTAAGCTGCTTGATACGTCGACGTACGTTTTGCGGATGAGGTGTACCGCGGAAGTGGAAAGAGAGTGTACCTTCACGGAACACGATGATGTACATGTTCAAAGGCTCCAAGTAAGTGGGACTATAGGGGTCTTGATCGAAAGAACGGAAACAGACGAGGTAGTAGTTGCGAAATAGCTCGATTTTTTCACGTGTTTCCTCCATGAGGATATCCTCGGTGGTAAGAGGGTGGATGCCAAAGACTCGACTGAGCAGTTTCATCTCTTGATCGGTAGGGGAGAGAACATCGAGCCACCAGGTGTTGGCTTCCGGGTCGGGGTCCATGCGGATCCCTCCTCCGGGAAGGGCTTTGGTGCGACTGGCGGAGAGCCCACTCATTGCTCGTGCTGCTTCCTCGCCATTGTGTACGGGCGTGTTGGAGCCGGTGGGTGGAGCGGTTGTGCCTTCCATACGACCGAAAGTCTGACCGAGGGAGGACATGCGTGCGGTTGCTGCATTGATGGTGGGTGCTCGACTGGCGTTACGGCTCTGACTGCCTTCAGTAGGAGGTGAATGGTCGCTGTTCTTCTTCTCGCGACCGGCAAAGAGTTCTTCGAAGGTCTGACCGTCCGCTGGCAGTTCAGAAAGATGGCGAGCGTGGATGGTGGAGGGCAAGGCGTTTGAGTAGAAGGTGAATCGATAAGGCTTCTCTCCACGGGTGCTGTAAGCTCCCGTGCCAGACCTTGCTCTGCTGTGGCCACCTGCGCCAGGAGTGATGGCACTCTGCGATTGAGAGTGATGCATGCGAGAAGCACCGCTGCTGCCAGCGTTGTGGTAGGAGGGGAGCGTGTCATTGTCGAGCAAGGGGGTGTTGACATCCATGGAGCCTTTCCTGTCTCCGGGTGTACCCGGTGCTAGCGCACTGCTAGTGCCCAAGGTACTGTTGGAAGTTGCGGCGCCAGCAGCGACGGGAGGTGGAGCAGATCCTCCGCCCTCGAAGAGTGCAAGCTTGCGTTGGTACTTGCTGCTGCCAAACGCACCTGCCGAGGTGCTGAGCTTGCGCGGGCGTCGGCTGTAGAAGGTGGCATCGTCACTGTCGGGAGAGACACCGTAGGCTGGGCCTCCACGAGAACCCTTCTGTGCTGCACCGCCTCGTTGTCGCAAGCCTTGTCCGGGAGAGCGGGCAGCATTGTAAGAGGAAGCCATACCGATACGATCTCGCTCGTCGGAGGCAAACTCTTCAAGCGCAGCAAGGTCGAAGGTGAAAGGGTAGCCTAGTGGGACGTAGCCGTTGTCGGTGCGAGAACCATAGGCGGCTCTTACTTTGTCGTGCAGGATCGCGGGAAGAGTCTCGTGAAGAGGACCATCCGAAGCATGGGTATCGTGGAGGGGGAAGCAGACGTCATCCTCGACAGTCGAGTTGCGTCGGAAACGAGGCTGTGCGTCCGGATCATCATCAAGAAGGTCAGGGCCATCGGAAGAAGGTCCAGATTGATGGCTGCTGCGACGGATGTGTTGAGTACGGCGAGAGAGGTGAGAAGCCTCGCCATCGATCGCATCGTCATGATCATCAACATGGATGAGAGCATGCTCGTTGGTGCGGGAAGGGAAGTAGGTGTTGGGGCTACGCATGGGAGTGCGCGAGAGAGCCGAGCGTCCACGAAGAGCAGAGGGAGAGTGTACATTGCTGAGGGAGTGAGCCTGGTGACGATGGTCGATGAAATGATGCTGGCTGTCGAGACTGGTGTTGGATGCATTGCGGTTGTGCTGGTAGAAGCGAGCGGCGGCAGCGGAGGATGAGGGGGGAGCGGGAGCTCGGACAGGGACTGGAGCAGGGCTACGATTGAGACCTTCGTGGAAGTAAGGCTCGGCTTGGTCGTCAGAGATGTTGCCTCGAGCTGGACTGGGGTCTTGTGCACCACCACGGGCCTTGCTCATCTGTCGAGCTGCGTCAAGGTCTTGCTGGAGCTGGTGATCTCCAGAGGTATCGGCGCGATCGGCATCCAGAGATGGTCGTGATCCGGGCGGAGGCGAGATGGCACGACCGCTGGCGAGGGAGCCGTAGTAGTGCTGGGGAGACGACATGATTGAGGTGGCTACGAGTTCAGTAAGACTGTCATTAGACCTATACGATGCGTCTACAGACGAGCGATAAGCTTGCTAGGGTTGATCACAACACGTTGTCGCCAGCTTTGGTGTTGGTGCGATGGGTGGGTGAAGCTGTGCCCGTGTTGTCTTGCAGTCTACGAGTTGATATGATAGCAAGACGTCGTTTGGGTCTTGAGAGAAGACGAGTTTTTCGTGGGTATGGGTATGGGTGAGGCGTGTATCTGTGTGTCCTCCTCACGGCAAGCGAGAGAGCCAAAAGGAAAGGTTGACCCTTTTTCTTTTCTTTTTATTTTATTTTATTTTTTTATAAAGGAGAGAAAAGAAAGACTTTTTGCAAGATTTGCAGCGCTTACCGTGATGACTGTTGCCCGAAGGGATCGGCAGATCAAAGAAGAATCGATCGGGTGTTTGTAAGTTAATGTTAGAGCAGCATTCAAACATTGTTGGGAAATGCAAGATGACGACGCGACAAGAAAGGTGATGGTAGACGGTGGATCAGAGCTCGGCTGGGAGGCGAGGCTGTGAAATATCGACAAAAATGCAAACAAAGAGTTGAAGATGCGTCGGCATCTCAAGTAAGATGCACATGTTACGGCCGAGACATTGAGACACGGGAGGCTCACGTAAGCGAGAAGTACAATGAGGTACGTAATTGTTGTCATGGTGACAGCACAGTGGCACCCGGTATCATAGCAACACAGGAGTACAAATGAAGAGACACATCCTGCCTCGAATAGGACCAGAGCAGTGAATGGAGTATATATATGTGTTTGTCATTCAGTCTCACATCATGAAAACTAAGCATTACATAGAACATACGGCTGTGGTAAAGGGAGTCTGATCGTGACCCCGATAACGCCGTATATTAATTGTTATCTTCATTTCAAAGCAAGAGGAGAAAAACGTTGAGTGCGATTCTATCGGGTCTAGTGCCAAAAAGTGCGCTTTCGCCTTCTGTTGGAAAGCGTCATCACTCAAAATCGCAGCTTGGCACGTCGTACAAAAGTCACACTACGTTACACAATTGGTTTGTTTCTCTGCTCTCCTACCTTTTACCTCAACAACCGGGACCGACTTTCGGACACCGTTTTCGTCCTCGCAGCCGACATTCCCCGCCTTTCTTTGGACGGGGGAGATCAGATGGATGCATTCTTTACCGCTTCTGCAGTGGATGCCGCTTGTCCTGCATCTGAGCTTGACGATGACTGGCTGAGTGACCAAAGTGCTTCCGCCGCCCAATTCAAGCACCGCCATCGTCATCATTTTTCAATGCTTCCTCAGCATCCTCGCTCTCCTAACCGTCCTCCAATAAAAGTCCCTGCCCCATCTCCAACTCCACCTGCTCGCTTCGATTACCTTTACCTTCTTCTCCACCATCACCATTCTTCTTCTCGTCGCCCTCTCTTTCGGCCGACTTGGCGATACCCTAATCTCTTCATCTGGGGCCATTTCCGTCCAACTCACCAATCTACGCATTTCACCTCACTTGCTGCTTACAGCAAATATCATCTAGCCCAACATGGTTTTCAGAGGTCTCTGCGTCGGTCTCGGTAAGTAGCTTCTTCTCTTGCCCTCCCCAACCCCCCCCCCCGGCCGCAGATGCGATCCGAGCTTGATCTTTAACCCATCGGCGATCAAAATTTGGGCTCGGGGTGTGGGATGAATGCACAGCTTGCTTGCATATCGCACTTCCGCGCCTCCTACCGTGCTTTCCGCCGCCCACCGTCTCTTCTCGAAGCGTGGGGTGGCGTGCCATTCTTTGTTTGCACGACGCGTAGCGATCTGCATTAGGCGCTCGAGAGAGCTGTTCCCATGATATCAGTCATGCACCCGTATAGGAGTCTCAAGGGCCTAGGGCAAGGTTGCGGTTCTAGCGCAAATCCCGCTCCCTCCCCTCCTTCTTCCATGATGGGAGCCTGATCCTGGCCCTCGCCGCGGAATCCTTTCTTAGCTCCTGTTCCACTTCCAATGGCAATGCCCGGCTTATGATGGTCGATGCAGTATGCTGACCCTTGACTTTCCTCTCTTCTCACCATCATACCATCGGTCAACCCCTCGCCCCAAACGAACACGTCCCTCTAACGACCTTATAATGGCAAAATCCCATTCCTACGGACTCGTCTCCAACACCCGCAATCTCTGGTACTCATTCGGCATCTTTTGCATCCATGTAGGCGAATTCCTCACTTTCGTGGCCGTCGTTCTTGCCGTATTCGCCAACATTGGTCAACTCACCAACAACATTGTAACCCGCAACATACGTTACGTTACCGTTGACACCACTGGTCTCGGTAACGCTCTTTCCACCGCTGGATCCAACGTCGCAAATCTCTACACTAACGACCCCAACTCTCCCGTCGGCCAAGGCAACGGTGTTCGTCAATCCTACCAATGGGGTCTTTACAACTACTGTGCTGGTCAGCCTTCGGGTGATGACCGTTCTTGCTCTCAGCGCAACTTCGGTTTCGAATGGCTTCCCGTTGATGCGATTCTCCGCGACGCTCCTCAGGATTCTAGACAGCAGATTCAGAACTTCTTGCCCGAAAGCACTTTCCGTGACAGCAAGTACTTGGGTGACTACTCCAAGCCAGCAATGTACTTGATCTTCATTGGTTCTTGTTTGGCATTCCTGGCTTGGGTTGCAGGTCTTCTTTCCCACAGATTTGCATTCCTCGGTGCGGCATTCATCGCTTTGCTCGGTGCATTGGCATTGGGTGTCGGTGCAGCATTGTTGACTGCAATCTACACTAAGGCTAAGGACTCAGTTGGTGGTCAGTACGGTGTCCAAGTTAGGTACGGTAATGCTCTCTGGATCACTTGGGCTGCTTTCGTAGCTTGTGTGTTGGCAATCGTGCCTTACATTCTTAGCTGCTGCACTGGTCGATCTGACGACTACTAAGTGCGAACATCTTTCGTACCGGAATCCGATACTCCACCATCTCCACTTCATATCTGCTTCAAGCTCACCAGTAACAAGGTTTGAGCGCAGCAAAGCAAGTGCGTGTCCTTTTCCCCTCCCGACTCTGGTTTGATACCGCTCCTATCCCACGTTTCGGACCGCTGTAGCCTTGCTCCTCCCCACATACATTTTCATACCCATCCCCGCCTCTCCACCCTGCCTCAACTTGTTCCGATTCGCTTCGCTTTAATGCCTTTTTATCCGATGTTGTAATGTTTTTACGACCCCTCTTTCGTCTACTTTGTGGATTAATATATCTCTTTTATCTTGCTCAATCCTAGAGAGACACTTTCGAATGAGTCTAGCTTGGTTGCATGCTCAGTCCTGATCGGGTACTCTGTGCTTTAACGGGTGACTTTTGGACCCGAGCCCGACTCAGGCAGAGCCAAGAAGAGTTTGTTGTCAGCCAGAGCTCTCGATTTGACTGCATTTCGCACTCACAGGATCCCCCCCATAAGGAAAGACTCCTCCATCTCACAGCACACAGCAGCCACAGCAAACGCATCCACACGCAACCTTTCACAAAATTAGACCAAGACAAAGTAAGATTCCCCTCCACCCCCCTCCTCTTACCACCAACTTAGTCAACAAAGATACCTGAACCGCGCTTATTCACCCTCTCCAGCATCAATCCAAGATCTTGCAATACCCACCGCAGCACGACTTTGGCATGGAATTGTGATGCTCTTCTCAATTTGCCAAAGATAGCTTGCCTTAGAGTCGAAGGTAGGGCTGAATAAGCTGTTAGATGTGGATGCGGCGACCCAATTGCTGCTGGTGAATGGAGTGCTCCTGCTGCTGTTAGCCCTCCCTCTCCTGTGGTTGATGCACAAGGTGGTGGAGCGATGGTTCCGTCTGCCACCAAAACTGCTTTGAGGTGAGAAGCCAGTATCTGACATCTAGAGAAGAGTTTCGAAAGGGCATCGACATAAAGATGTAAAGTGGTACTGTCGAGAGCTTTTGCTTGGCCAATACCACCACCTGTCATTCTGTCCAACCCTCGGGTGAAACGACTACCAAATCCTTTCTTTTCTCCTCCCCTACCCCCTCCTTCTTCCAGCACTGGTTCGATAAACGGCAGCTTTCTAGCCAGAGAATTCTGGATCTCCCCCATCACCACCTCAAATTCTTCTAAAACCTTAACAAACCTCGTCCCGCTACTAGTTTCCAATCCGGCACCGGAGCCCAAAGGCATTAGGAGAGCGGCTCCGCCTCTTGCAACGCCATCCAAGGCAGAAGTGAGAGTTTCGAGCGATCGGAGCTTGGTTTCAACGGAAATAAGCTTCAAACCAAAAGCAGAACGCCATATTGAAGAAGGAATGAATAACCGAGGAGTAAGCCAGCTTCCCCCACTCCCACTAGAGGTAGAAAGAGAGGTTTGGAGTGAAGAAAGCATCGTAAATGGCTTCAACAGTGGATGCGCCTGTGTCGAAACCATGGCGTTGAGAGGATGCGAGGGGATGGTGCAAGAATAACTCGGTCTACCGGCAGCTAATGATGGTAAGCCTGAGGGGAAGATGTCTGTGATCAAAAACTTCCCTCCCTCCCCCTTTTCCTCTTCGCTTGCTGGTTGCATGGTTGCGGGAAATCGTGGAAGGGGCATAGCCAGACTCAGCCCTGTCCCTCCTTCTGCTGCCACCACCCCGTCCGCCTTAACACCTACTTCCCCACCATCCCCACCACCACCACCACCAGTAGCAGTAGCAGTAGCAGTGATGGCGCTACGTTTGAGCTCCAAAGCAGACAGCGTTCTAGCCAAATTCGGCACAGGAGGAGCCCCAGCAGTTGGTGAATTAGCAGCAATAAATGCAGCCGGAATACTCGGTCTTCTCGATCCAGGTTGAGAAGTCGATCGTTGTCTATTTGACATTGCTACTCCTCCAACCTCACCTTCTGTTTCGGTATGCAATTCTCCATCCCGAGGTTCTAATGCAGCAGTGTTGGAAACTTTTCGACGCTGAGAAATGGTCCCTGCGGCGGTGGAGGCGGAGACGAGAGCGGATGCTGTTGATGCTCTTGGACGGTTACTGCCTGAGCGGAGGGTTAGGTTGGAAGCCGTATTGCCGGTGGTGGTTGAGGTTGCAGAGGGGTCAACGTTCCATGGTGTAGGATGATCCACCTCACCAGCATCAGGTTCCGTTGGTGAGCCTGCAGACCCAGGTCTCGAGTTTTGCGGCATGGGAGTGGGTAGCTCCTCCTTTCTCGCCCCTCCGAGCGAAGGCATCGAAGCTTTCTGTCGCAGCAATGGACCTTTGAAGCTTAACGCGCGTGCTCTTTGTGCTAGACCCATCTTTGCTGGTTTCTCCACAACAGGCACAGCTACTGTTGGAGGTTCGATCTTCGGTTTAGCAGTCGAAGAAGTCAACGAGAGGTTTCTCCCCCTACCCTGCCCCTGCCCCTGCCACTGCCACTGCTCTCCCTCCCGCTCTTCAGAACCAGCAACATCACCAGTAGCATCGAAATACGGCGTAACAGGAGTCTTTACTTGATCGTCCAACCCAAACGCCCCTCTACCTTGCATTGTCGCTGTAGGCTTCAACCTTGACCCTGTAGTTGTACTTTGATACGAACTATCCGAATCGGATCTCCCGTGTTGTTGTGCTTGTACTCCTTCCTCCCGAAGTTGGGTTGCTGCGGTTTTCTTCGGCGATCCTACCATCTCTTTGGTAGCGGAGGTAGAGGAGGGATTCGGAGTCATAGCTTCGATAGAAATACTCGGCATCTCTTCCGCAATCGCCGGTGGAGGCAGCCTGTGATCCGGTGCCTCCTGCTCATCCGCGATCGATAACGAGATCGAAGCTCTACTTCCGCGCGAGCCTCTTGAGCCCGGTCTACGGTGATCCCTTCGCCTCCGCCGGGGTGAAGAGTCAAGCGAAGGCGAAAGAGCCTCGTTCTGCATAGGTGGAGATCTTGGCCAAGGATGCTGAGTCTGGATCGGTGATGCTTTTCCACCACCCTCCCCTGGCCTGATCGTGGCGGGGGAAGATGCCGGAAAAGCAGCCCTAACAGGCGTAATCGATAGGAAACTCCTCGCATCTTCTTTAGGCGATTGCTGCTGCTCACCACCATACATCCTATGCGTAGCAGCGAGGGAATGATGCTGACTATCGTCACGCATACGATCTAGCCAGTCGGCCTTTGTAGCCGCTCCTCCCTGCTGAGCGGCGTTAGAACTGAAGCTGGTATCCGTTGTCTCGACATGTCCGTCCAGCTCTTCAGGCGAATAGATCATCGACAACAACCGGATCCGGTCGGCATATGTATCATGAATCACCCGCAGCCGACGTCTTTCCTCCTCCCTGCTCGGTCGAGAACGTTTGCCGTTACGAGGAGCAATACGTTCCATGACTTCCTCCAACAACCGCACCGCTTGCTTGTAGGCAGAGATGGCATCGGGAACGTTATTCGCACTGTCGAGCTGCACTGCGTTCTGCGCTTTCTGAAGGGCAATGGTGAGGATGTTCTTGCTGCTGAGCGGTGCGCCGTTTGGGTTGAGGAGAGAACCGGCGGATGCACCAGGCATGGCGCCAAGAATGGCGATGGCTGCATCTGATAGAGTGCCGCGTGGTGGGCTGCTGTCCTTATCGTACGATGACCGAGAAGCGGAAGTTCGTGTTGCTCTTGCTTCTGCTGAGTCAGCAGAGGAATCGTGCGCGAGCTGCTGGGAAAGACCTTGTCGACTGAATCGGTTATGATAGCCTCCTGCGGCGCCGTGTGTGCCTGCAACGGAGGGCGCTCGGGATGAGATGTTGTTCGATGAAGCGACTGATTGGGTGTGTGCCGAAGATGCGACGCCGACTGCAGCTTCTTGTCCATGCGAGTAGTCGAGACCACCGTTGTAGCCCGGTGTGTAGCGATGGCCAACACGAGCATCGCTGGTCACTGGCTCGCTAGTCACTGGCTCGCTGGTGTAAGAACCGTTCGGATCCTCAATGCCTGGACCGCGAGTTGCCGGATAAGACGTGGGATGAGGTGCTGCAGCACTGCACTGCTGACGATCCGCATCTTCCAAGCTGCTATTGCGCACAAATGCTGCCGTTTGCTGAGAAGCATTGCGAGATTGCGCAATGAAAGCAATGGAATCCTCTTTCTTGTAGGCAAGGCGACCCAATCGGCCGCCACGACTGTGCTGCTGCGGTGCAGTGCTGGAAGAGACGCTTGCTGGTGCCCCGGCCGTGATCTTATCCGACAGGTTCGACTGGGAAGAAGGCCTCGCTGGTTGACCGTTGCCATTCCTTGCATCATCCCCACCAGCGACATGATTGTCGAGACGAGGAGAATGAGGTTTGAAATCAAGCATGTCCATCGCACTAGACGATCTCGCTGCATTCGAGCTCAACGCCCCTGCCCCAGTCGAGCTCGGGTCTGGCATTTCATCTATATGCTCGTGCTGAGGAAGAGCTTTGTTCCGATTCCGACGGCCGAAGAAGCTCGAGTCATTGGAGGATGTTGCATCGGTATGATTCGTCGAGGAAGAAGCGTTGCTAGAATGCGAACCGTCATTGTTGTTCTGCATCGACCTTCCAAGCAGAGCACCTAACCTACTACCTCTTGAAGAGGGCGGTTTGTTGGCAGCACGCGAAGGAGAGGCATGAATAGCATCAGCTCGATCCGACGCATCACTAGCATCTGCGAACACTGCTGAAGCAAGGTGCTTTGAGCTGCTCGGCCGTGATGGTGTCTGTCGCGCTGTATTGGAAGGCGAAGAACGATTCGAGCCGGACGCGGGTGCTGTATTGGAAGGCGAAGAACGATTCGAGCCGGACGCGGGTGCTGTATAGTCGGGTGAAGCTGGTTGCTGGCGATGCTGCTGGCATTGTGTACTCGAAGAAGCGTTAGGTGTCGTGATGCTGTCGTAAGGTTGAGTAGCATAGCTATCGAAGGTAGCTTGCGGGTTGGGTGAGTTGGGTGCGTCGTCGAAGGAGAGGAAGGAAGTTTCGCGTCCGCCACGTGACATGGAGTATGACGTTGATTGAGCCATGGCAAACTGATCAGACGCCAGCTCAGTAGTAGACCGGCGAGGGTGACTTTGGTGCGGGTGTCGCGACGTAGAACCACACGTTAGGAAGCATGCTCGGCTTTGTGTTGCCGGATTAGAGGAACATGGGTGGGAAGACGTCGTACCAGCGGGTCAAATGATGCAGCAACAGGTTGGGTTTGGGCATTCGTCTCAAACAGTGCTGCTGGGACGTGCTGTGTGGTTGTCAACGGCTGACCAACGCTCAGTGATGATTCGCCAAGCTAGTGTGCGATTGGGTGAGAAGGACGCGATACTAAGCCACTGCAGTCGAACGTGTATGTCACGTGCAGAGATGCTTTGCAAGGATTGGTGATGCCGAGAGGGAGACGACGACGACAGATCAGAGGCGAGAAAGGATGGTGAGGAAGAAGAAGAAGAAGAAGAAGAGGAAGATGATGATGATGATGAGGAGGAGGAGGAGGAAGATGACAGGAACGTGGAGATGGAACTGGAGAAAGACAGATGCAGGGACCGCAAGCATTGATAGATGGCCGGGACAGACAGACAGGGAGAGGCAAATTGAATTTAGAGTGTTGTGTGTTGTTTGGGTGTGTTGTGTGTGTGTGTTGTGTGTGTGTGTGTGCAGCTGGAGTGCAATAATTTCCTTTTCATTTCCCGTCGTGTGCTGTTCTGTGTTGGGGTTGGACAAAGAAATTGACAGATCCGAGCGTCTGAAAGCACCTCAAGCGAAGCCGAAGCGTGTAGCGCGTATGTCGGTGCGTGTGTGCGGCAGTGGCAGCAGCAGCCGGAGAACTGGCCTTCTTTCCCCATTTGGAAGCTTTGAGAGAGAGAGAGGCAACACTGAAGCTGGCATCTTCGCATCACCGCTTACCCTTTTCACCTTTCCTGCCAAGAGGAGCTCAATGTCGCTTCATCGCAGCGAACTTCTATTTCATTCTGATCAAACAGTCGCTGAGCTGTCATGCATTCTGTGCAAAGAGAGTATGGTTTCAAAGAATGTCTGTGTGTGTGGGAGAGAGATATAAAGAGAGGAAGACTAAAATATATATATATATATATATATATATATACAGCGATGGACCCGTTACAAATGGCAACAATCTTGTTCTGCAAGCTCGCAAAATCAACACTTCAAAGGCAAAGGCGACTGACTGAAGAATGGTGGCACAGCATGGTGATACAGACAACGATACTGCAACAGCACAGAGAAGCAAAGAGCAAAGGAATGCCTTTCAATCCAAGCTCAATCTTGGCTGCAAATGTAGTACGCTCGTGCTACCATCTCCAAGAGGTGTCAACGCCTTGCCATCATAGCCCACAATGTACCCGTTATCGCCGCCTGCTGATGCCGCTGCACGATCCTTTCGGGTGCGAGCGATGGCATGCTTGAGTCCTCGGTCAAAGTTGAGCATGCATTGCACCGTCATCACCGCTGTGATAAGCAGCAGCAACATGGACAGTGTCGAGAACACGGTCAAACTCTTGTACACCTCTTTGTACAGCGTATCTTTGAGCTGCCAGATGCGGAAGAGTTTGTAGACAAAGTACACCATCGCTCCCGTCAATCCAACCAGGAAAGCCAGCATGCCGTACTTGAGTTCCTTACGCACCGAGTACCATGCAAAGATGAGAATGAGGAGAGAAAAGGGTGCCGAAATGATCGTGATCCATCGTTCTGCCGAGCCAATCTGCTTTACTACCAGAACCAGCTGGATGCAGTAGGCGATGAAGATGAAAAAGTCGAATTTGAGGAGAGCAACGTAGATCTGGTAATGGAGGTAGCCACGTTTGAGACTTCGGTCAGCACCGATCTTCTTGTAGATTTGCCATCCAAACTCCTTCCACAGCTTCCATCCAAGGATGACAAACGAGATCTCTGCGACGGCAATCACGATTGGAATGGCGCCTGTCAGTACCTGCACAGGTACAGTCTGTGATGAACCTTCGGCAACACCGTCGCCGAGCACCGATCGGATTTCCGAGATCTGGATGAGAGAGTAGACGAGGAAGCAGGCGTTGAAGATGATCGAGCCAATCACAAGGATGGTGTTTCGGTTGATCACCGCGTCGACAGCGAGTAAGAATTGATAAATGTGGGCGAGGGAGAAGACAATGACAAAGACAGGCAATGCTCTTGACTTGGAGTCGTCATCGGCTGTAGCATGCGTCTTGCGATGGTACTGATATCGGGCAAAGAGAACACTTTCGATGGCAATGTTGATCGATGCCTCTGCCAGCGTGATCAGAAGGAACAATCGACATGCCCACGAGTCTGGGATCCATGCCCAACATCTGCTGATGCCTTTTGCTGGTGGTGGATATGCGTAGCAACGTTGTCGGCTCGAGCCGCTAGACTGAGGAGGGTGACCCATGACCGGCACAGACTTGTTCGAAGAGAGTATAGAGGGGACGGTCTTGCTTGTCTCAACTGGAGTCAGAGACAGGAAGATGTTGCAGGTGAAGCCGACGGTCTACGTCAGCAAATATGAGAGTGCGTGCTGCTACAGATTGGACCAGCCAATGTGTGACGACGAAAAGGAGAACGAAGGATGCAGCTCGTCGGCGGGAAAGCGGCGACGGGAGAGCGCAGGACAATATTGTGGGGGTCAACTTTGCTTCAATAACAGCAAGTGGGTGGTACAAAGCTGAGGCTGTGTCAATGCTGTTTTGGAGGTCCGAGATCGAACGAGATCGAACGAGATGAGACGTTTAGTGCCGAGTGCTGGTTGAAAACGGTGGGGCGAAATGAGCGTATACGTGTGTATCTGTGGAGATTCCTGAAGCTGGTTAGAAACGAAAGTGTGTTGAGGGCAAGGAGAGGCGGCCAAGTGGAGAGTGTCGGACGAAGGGGAGAGAGAGAGAGAGAGAGAAACAGAGCTGCGACGACAGTGATGATGTCGAGGGCGGAGGACAATAGTGAGGAGGGTGATGGTTAAAGGTGATGATTGAAGGCGATGATTGAAGGCGATGATTGAAGGCGAAGATTGAAGGCGAGTGAAGAGGTGGATGGTGGAGAGTGATGATGGTCAGGAGGTTGTGAGGTATGTGCAACTCTGATCTGACGTTTGGCTGTCAAAAGGCCAAGCGGCAGGAAAAGGGTGAAACAGACAAGCGAGCCACGCCGAGCAATCAGAGAACAGCAGCAAGCCAGCCAGGCACAAGGGAGCGAGCCCAACTTACCCCGAACAAAAGAGCGAGAAAAGACAGCACAGAATGTTGAAATAAAGGAGACACTCGGCGACGATGATCGGGAGATATCAGTCAGAGTACGGTGTTCAAGCTAAAGAGCAAAACACTATACTATATTGACATGCTGGAAGTGAATGTGGCCGGAGCCTCAAGCTCCCTGCTAGACTTATATACGAACGTGTGGCACATGCCCGACTGTGGGCGTATCCTACCTAATGACAGTGTGTAGCAACGAGTGGGACATGGTTGCAACCGATCTCTGTCTTGTATCGGCTCAACCCGATTCCCTGTCTGATTCGCCTCACCCGATCCCGATCAGACCTAACTTATCTGATCGCCGACTGAATCCGCTTCGCCCGATCCTCTACAGATCTGATCTACATTATCCCTAGATCGGACTAGATCGCAATCTCCAACACAGAACAGCACAGAACAGCAGAGCAACACGGACCCCCTTTGAATTTCTGTCCATTTTCAAGCCTGATTGTGTGTGTGATTGATTCTCTCTCTGCCGTGGCATGCCGCGTTCCAAGAGAAGAGCGCGCCGGTGGACCGGCAGAGAACCCATCTCGGGCTCCGTTGGCATCCTTCCTTTCTCAGCTAACTAGAAGGAGCTACACCCGCCATCCAAAAGGGAATTCAATCCTGCTGAATCATCGCCGACGCTAGCGAACAACTAGCCAAGTTATCACCCCATCCAACTTGCCTTCATCCATCCCGCGCCGACTCAGATAGCTCCTCGTGGGATGACAAGGGAAACAGAGCCATGCATTTCAGCAGAACGAGTCGAATGAATGATAACAAGATCGCTGCTGGACGAGGTAGACATTTCAAGACGATACACCTTACGCATAGACCTGCCTTGGCCTGAGAGATACTATATACAAGCACAACAACGATCCAGAAGGGAATGCATGTCGCTGAACACAATTGTGCCCTCGTCTATCGACTGGCTTCGGAAAAGCACAGAGACGGGGCACACTCAAATAGTCAGCCTTCTTTCTCAGAGCCTTCGCTTTCCGTCCTCGTTGTCTCTCGATATCGAAAGCGACAAAGAGATTCCGCGGGGCGTGAAGGGACTGGCAGATGCATCGACATCACCTGCCGTCGCCTTCAGACTCTTGATGGAAGAAAGAAGAGAAGCAGGTCATCTCGAATCGCCAAGGGTGGTGCCCTTTTCGCCTGTCTTCTTCTCGAGAGCAACCTTTTTTTTTTTTTTTTGTTTTATTTGTTTTTTGTTTTTTGTTTTTTGTTTTTTGTTTTTTGTTTTTTTTTTTTTCTGAACTCCTGATATCGATCGGACTTGAAATCAGCAAATTGATTGACGAGAGATCGGCGATTTGGTTTGTCCCAGCAACACAGACCACTTTTCTACGGCGAACAAATTGAGAGGGTTCAGCCCTGCAGCAACACAACAGCAACACTTTTAGCAGCTGCAGCCGGGAGAACAACACCTTTTCTGTGTAAATTGCTCCCCGTGTCGGCTTCGCTCTTCTCTGAGCGTCTTCATATCAACCATATCCTCTTCATTTCGACACCATTGCTGCCTTGACCGTACCTCGCGAATCAGTACCACGCTCCTTTCCAAAGTACTCTGCAGGAGGTCGAACTGCCTCGCCATCAACCGGACCAGATCTCAACATGAAACACTTTTGAGTGGCTCGATATAGCTTCAACTGTGCTACCTAATTGACTGACATTGCGGCACTCTCACAAGCATGTCAGAGCCAGACATATCGGCCTCGGCGGCCGCTGCTGTCTCGCCATCCCAGCCAGCGCCGCCAAATCAAGATCAGCAGCAATCAATAGCAGAACCCATGCCTCTCCAAGCAGTACTCGACCAGCACCAAGACGCTACAGCATCAGCTACTTCAGCCGCTCCTGTCAATCTTGACCTCGACCTGAGCGTGGTACAAGATCCTATCCTCGATCTCTGCCCCTCTCTCGACATTCTCAAGCAGATCGCTCGTTCCTCCACCCTCCATGCACAGGTCAAGAAGGATAAGCTCAGCAAAGCACTCCTCAGAGCTGCTAGCAACGGCGACACCGACATGCTTTCCTGGTTGCTCGACTCCCGTGCTGAAGCTCGCCAAATCATCTCACACCACCCTTCCCGCAGAGACTCGCAGGGTAGACCTAGGATTGCTTTCGAGCATATACGGGACGAGGAGGGTACCGGCCCTGTTGTGCTTGCTACCTGCGCTGGACACATTGATGCAGTCACCATGCTCATCCTGAACGGCGCAGAGATCGATGAGAGGGACGCTTGCGGTTGGACGCCGCTCATGTGGGCTACAAACAGCTCCAATCTTCCGCTTGCTAGCTTCTTGCTTAGCAGAGGTGCAGATGTCGATGCGAAGAGTACAAGGGGTACAACCTGCGAAGACTTCATCCTGTCCGCTGCGCCCGAAGCAGCCACGTCGATGGCTCCAGCACAGAACCACGCTGCTACGACAGAGCAAGAAGCCATTGCAGATCTTATCTACGAACATCAACGATACATTTCTTCCCAGCAGTCTGCTGCACAACGTCTCAATGGTCTCTATCTCGACACCTCACCAGATTGTCCAAAGCCTTTGTCATCATCTTTACAAAACATAGACCCAGACCGACAAAGCAGCGCTGCTGTCAGCCCAACTCGTTCTTCTCGCTCCTCTATTCCATCTTCTTCCAGTCCTTTCAAACCCGGTCACTCGAGAACCGGCTCTCAACTCACCCAACGAAGGCTTGTAGGCAGATACGAGCGAGCTCATCTTGTCGAACAGAAGAATAAGCAGAAAGAGCTTAGTGATACCCGCAAGAGTGCATTAGCTGACATTGCTACGCTGCTCGAGCTCGATTTGGACACCTTGACAGGCGAGCCGGCCCCTTCAGAGTCAAATGCTGGTGGTAGCGGAAGGGCCAACGACCCCTCCTCATCCTCATCCCTATTCGCAAGACGGCGAAGAGGAGCAGCGGCAAAAACCGCCCACACTGATCTAGCTTCTGGTTGTGGTGCAGCTGAAGTTGGTGCAGACTTACTCTCGGTCGAATTCGACTGGAAATCCGTCCGAAGCGATCAAATGCTCGTGTTTGGCAACGCCGATCTTGACCCTCTTCTCAGCATGCTCATCACCAACATGAGACCTATCCGTGCGCCATGGACGTCTCGTGCAGCACCAGCGAATGTTCTCTTTCTCTGCGCGAGATATGCTTGCTTACTGCAAGACGAGGATTTGTTGGAAGAACTATTTCTAGGCGCAATAGATCGGATCGAGGGTGTGATCTATTCCCATCCTACCGACATGACCTACCTCGCCTTCTGGCTGTCCAATTGCTGTTTGCTGCATTACTACATGGACAAGGACAGGACGCTGCGCAAGTCAAGTTCGGTCAGGGAGTATCGCAGTTTGTTGGCGGATCTGTTGAACGAGATCTCTGTGTTCATTATTAGAGATGCCGAGAGGAGGATAGATAAAGTGCTGGATGCGGCCATGTTGGATCATGAAGCGATTCCAGGCTTTGAAGAGGTACGGTTTGAGGGGGAATGGAAGTTCATGAAAACGCTTGCGGGGAGTGTCAAGGGGATTGGACAACAGAGCTCCTTGTCCCAAGGTATGAATTCCAGTGCAAGCTCGAGGAGGCCGATCAGTCAGATCTTTGGTACTGGTAGAAAAGATGATGCCTCTTCAAACACTACACCGGAAGGCAGCACCCATTTGTCATCCTCTCCCTCCCTGGGCAATGGCCGACCGTTGAACCCTTTTGGATCAGCAACTGTAGGCCCTTCTTCTTCTTCTTTCCGCAACCACGCCGGCGGAGACAGTTCACTACGCAAAGGACTAGGTGAATCATTCCGCGCCATCCGCCACGTCTCCAACTACGCCTCCGCCACCGACCTCCTCACCGCTCCCACACCCCGAACCATCTCCTCCCTCCTCAGATCCACCCTCCAAGTCCTCCAATTCTACGAGATCAACCCAGCGATCATCATCCAAGCTCTCTCCCAAATCTTCTTCTGGGTCGGATGCGAACTGTTCAACCGTGTCATCACTCGCAAGCGCTACCTCTGTCGTTCCCGAGCTATCCAAATCCGAATGAACGTATCGGCGCTCGAAGATTGGGCTCGTTCCAACGCTCTTCCTCTTTCGATAGTGCATGCGCACTTGAGTCCCTTATCGCAGTTGATTAGCTGGTTACAGTGTCAAAGCTCGCTACAGGAGTTCGATGGATTGATAGCAACGATGCAAGGATTGAAAGCACTGACACCGGTACAGATGAGGAGGGTGGTGAAGGATTATAGGTATGAAGTGGGGGAGACGAGGATGAGTGAAGAGTGTTTGCAGTATTTGGATCAGTTAATTATTGATTGGAGGAGAAGACAAGATGAACAGCTGAGACAGGCGAAGGAAGAGGCGAGAAAGGTGCAGATGAGGAAGAGCAAGGTGAAGAAACAGAACAGTGGTCATGCGAGGCATGGAACGGCTAGACAGGAGGATTATACGCCTGAGTCCAGGTCGCTTGATGAGAAGATGGATGAGGAAAACGAGCAGGATGAGGATGAGGATGAGGATGAGGATGATATGGGGCTCAAGGATGGGATGGCTGATAAAAGCATCAACAGCACAGGCACAGCCAAAGTCAGCAAAGAAGATTCCGAGCCGTTGACTGTGGCGGAAGCCACTGTTCGATCGGCCCAACTCATGATCGATGAATTGTTCATGCCAGGTAAAAGCATGTCTGACTACGTCCCTCCCTGGACAGCAGCCGGCTCTCCACTCGGCTTGCACGATGATGGAACCTCCTCCCCCGGCAGTGCTCCACCTTCCCCCACAAAAGCAGATGGTCTCCTCAACAGTCGAGAAATGCTTCCCTTTGCACTCCCCACCAAACGCAACGCACTCATCGTCACCCCCGGCGATGCCTTCGGTTTCGGTCGTGGACACTTCACAGGCACAGGCACCCCCTCCGTCCGTAGCGTCAACGGTGATAGCAATGCACCCTCCACCTCTTCCTCTCGACGTTCTTCTATCGTCTCTTCGTCTTCCCATCCCTCCTCTATTCCAGCTGATACCACCCTCACTGGCGCAGGAGGGGAAGATGAAGAGATAAAAAGCGAAACTTCATCCCATACTGATGCAAGTGGCGTCTCCCAAACAAGCTCGCTTTTCCCACAAGGCAAAGGATTTGCTGCTGGAGGATATTGGTCTCCCGTGCCCCTCCTTCCGGAAGGGATGTTGGACAGAATCGATGCGATGTTGAAAGCTGCAGCTGCTGTTGTTCCTAGTATTGGCATAGGAGATAGGAGTAGGAATATTTTGCTTGCTGATCATGCATCTGATGAGCATCTGCCTCTTCATCAAAATGCAGAGGAGGGAGGGATGGGGTTACCGAGATCAAGTCGGATCGTGATTCCGCTGAGAGAAAACTCCATGCTCCAATCTTCCCCGATCAGAGCAACACAGGAAAAGGGAGGTATAATTGAATACGAAAGACTCCACCTCAACACCTCCAACACGTGGAGAGGCGACGAAATGGAAGAGGAAGATGCGAAAACACCCGGTCCTTACCGTAAGGATACTCTGAAACCTTCACTTTTCTCTACCTAAATCCCACACACCACCTATCTATGATAGCTTTGGAATGCAGTTTGCATTGCGATGGTACAAATACATGACACTATGATTGTGCAGATGAGTCCTGATCAGCAGGTAAGGATCCGAGCCCAAATCGCCGCATAAGCACTTCTACCGGCCCTGAACCAGATCCTGGGCCCGAAGTTCCCATTTGTGCTTGGAATGATCGTAAGAAGCCTTCCAATTGTTCTGCTTCCACGCCTTCTTTGTCGAGTTGGGAGAGAAGAGATGCGGGGAGATCGGATCCTGATTTGAGTAGGTGTGAGAGAAGTTCTTCTTCCTCCTCCCCCATTTCCTTTTCCTCATCCTGCTCACCGGGAGTTTTGCAAGAGGAAGCAGCAGGGGTCTGGCTTGATTGGAGGTGGTGCAATTGAGTCTCCATTGCAGCCATCACACTTTGGAACGTGTCCAGTTTCTCAGGCTCTTCTGCCTGGGTCGGTGCTTCAGCCGCCTTTGTAGCAATGTTTGGTTTGCTTGGAACAAATTTGCCCTTACTCTCCCTCTCAGCCAGGATTACACCATACTGCTCTTGAGTCAATCCAAGACTTATCCTCGCGAATTCCAAAAGATTCCCTATTTCCGTCTCTTCGTCATCCAGCTTTGGCTTTCCAATATCCTCCCACTCCCCTTCTCCAAGTGGAGCATTGACTTGGTCAGGTTCAATATCGAACTCCCTCGCACGCTGTCGGCGCACTTCGGGCGAGGTTTCTTCCTCCAACTCCTCATCGTCCGAGTCTGAGGCTCCATCGTATCGCTCATGACCCTGTGAATTGAGCAAAGAGCAAGTTTCGCGCATGTATTGCGACGCTAGTCTGCGCTGAAGCTCTTCATGAGCCGCGGTGAGGTTGTTGTCTCTCCGCGTCGCCACTTCCTTCCCACCTTCGGATTCCCTTTGACTTTTCTTGGCATCATGCTCAGCAGCAACTCGATCGATAGATGTCAAAAAGTCTTCCTTTCCACTGTTTTCCGTTCCATTGAAGTCGCTGCTACTGATAGTGGGAGGCTCTCGAGTCCACTCATCATCCGACATACGTGGTATCAGCCTCTCGACCAATCTCTTCTTTTCTTCTTCCCCACCAATCTTCATCCTCTGCTCAACCTCCGCGCGGACTCTATCTTCCTGCTCATCCTCGTCCATATCCTCAAAGAGGAGATCTTCATCATCAAGCTGCATGTCTTCCTCGTTGAGCTCGTCTCCAAACAGGGCACCTTGGACGTCGGATTTGGTCCTGATGAAGTCTTCCATTTTGCTGTTGAAGGCTCCGAGGCGTTGGAACGTGTCTTGTTCGTCGATTGCTCGTGGAGGTGCGGTGGCGGAAGTGGAAGATTTGGATTGAAGGACGGACTCGATGTCTTCCGAGTCAAGTTGAAGCCATGAGTCGCCGTCTTCTGCGTCTTTCAGGGTTGTGAGGGGTGCGTTTGGAGAGAAGGTCTTGAGTGTGGGCGGGGTGCTGGAGACACGCTGAAGGATACTGTCGACCAAGTCACAAAGCAGTACTTCTTCAGCACTCCCTTCGGTGTTGGTGTTGCTGCTGCCCTTGACGTATTGAGACAAAGCTTCAGCTTCGAGCTGCTTCCACTTTGCGCTTCCCTCAATTTCGCCCTGGAAATAGCCAAGCTTGGTGAGAGAGCTGGTAAGCTTTTGGCGCTCACCAGCAGGTGCTGCTGATTCTGTCGGAGCCATAGGTCGAGCTCTTGTGCGTGTCCTTCGACTGAGCGATTCGGTGTAAGCCATTTCCAGCCCGCACCAAACCTTGGCGCCTAGATCATACCATCGTCCTTGTCTCATTTCTGCTTGTACCACGTCTTCATCTTCGATCTTCGGCTGTGCTGCATCAGCTGAGGGTTGATTGTGGAGCCGAGCACGATACTTTTCAACAGCAGCCTGCCATTGTGCTCCAAGCTGGCGTGGTGGGAAGAACCGATCGTAGAGTAGCTGTGCGTAAAGGTGCCGTGTCATTCGAACGGGAGTCAGGACGATCTCATTGCCATCTGCAGAGCCAGTGGCATTGTCAGATGCTGTTTTTCTGACAGAATGTGATGCTGGCGGAGGGAAGTGCACAAGTCGAGAACCGGACCGGGAGCTGACGATGTCTCGAGACTGAATCGAGGTGACGCAGCTAGATACAAGCTGTGGGTTGGCTGTGAGAACTTGAGCTACTCGGCGCGGTAGGAAGGCTAGTGTACGATGGTAGTGCGGTTTTGCTGCGGAGGGGAATTCGTATGCGCGTGCGAAAGCTGCTGCTTCGATGTCGTCCGATACCCGTGTGCGGGTGGTCTTGTCCTCAACTAGTCTGACGGCATCGGAGGTAGATAAGGAGCTATCCTCGTTGCTCTTGTAATGTGGCGGAATCAAATGCAAATGACCTTCAAAGATCCATACTCGGTTGGCGACGGCTTCTGGTGTGACCCAATCCGGCAGATGGTCTGCGGCCTCGATAAGGAGGAATTGACCATCCTCATCCTCGACGGTGATGCATAGCTGCTGCTGAGCGAAGTGTATAGACGCTCGGAGCAGAAGATGTGTTGCAAACCATTCGTCTTCAATACACTCTCCCCCGGTTCTCAGATGAAAGAGGATGTGAGGAAGCTGCTGAGTCGCAGACTTTGAAGTGGACGGCCGTGAGGACGACGAGGAAGAAACAACGGAGACTGATGGAGGTTCTCTGTGCCAGATGTAGTCTTGACTGTCAAGATAGTCGCTTGAGCGAGTGTGCTCTTCCATAAACCGCTGAAATTGCTTTGCAGTGTTGAATAGCTGAGCGAATTGATCGATTGACGAGGAGGAAGCTGGGTCGCTCGGTGTAGGAAGGTAGATTCGTGCAACAAGCGCCTGTTGCTTCTCTGCACTTGCTGCGGCAGCTAGCAGACCGGTGACGTCCGAGAATGGCAGAGCTCCATCTGGAGGCGGCATATGATCCTCCATGGTCGTTTCTCCGCCGTCTTTCTGCTTTGTGATGGTGGTCGGGGAAAAGAGGGCTGTTCAACAAGCCTTGAGAGTGTTGGTCAAAGCTGAGTTTTCCTCCACATTTCGAAGTCCTTTTTTCGACAACTTTTTCAGAACACTTTTTTTGGACGCGGCGCCGTGAGTTCCGACTTCCGCATTCTGCAAAGTGGAATCGCGTTGTGTTCCTTTTGGCTTTCCTTCGTCATCATCACTTCCGTCCTCCAAGCGGACTCAACACTAACCTTCCTTCCGCACCCTTCACCCATAATTTCCCTTCACCATCACGTCCAATCTCACGCAAGAGGCAACCAGCATCCCGCTGCAGCCACCTCTACACGCATTCAAGTTGCCACGACCACCAGAGCTATACATACATCATCGTCGATTCCGCATTTCCTCCGTCCACCATCACCAATCTGAGCATCCGCTAGCGAGATGCCACCAAAACGAGGGCGTCCTGCGCTTGAGTCCTCACCATCAACAGCTTCAACTTCGGCTCTGACAATCGAAGACTCTTCAGCGTACGCTTCGTCTCAACTCTCTGCGTCATCATCTGAAAACAACCGGTCTACGTCCACAATCAAGCGGTTCCTCTGGAACACACTCTCGTCCTTAAGCCCGCGCAAGCGTCAGAAGATCGACACAGCCAAAGAAAGCAGAGGCACGCTGCTGCTCACCGGTAGCGACACATCAAATACAGTAACACCAGCTTCCACATCACAGCCATCTACATCCACTGTGCTGATACACGGAGACGAAGATATGCCGCTAACAAATGGATTCGTCGACTTGGCGCCCACCAAGAACGGTGAATCATCGAAAACCGCGCTTTCATTGCTGCCAGACTCAAAGCTATTCGTCTATCAAGAAGGCGCAATACGCGATCCTCTCGCCCGCAACCATCACACCACTTCCTCATCCACGAGCTCTGCTCCGATGGCAGATACCCGCAGCTCATCCGAAGAGGCTGCCGAGATGCAGATTCAGCACACTTCGCCGCCTTCCAGCCCTGAGTCGCCCTCTACGGAGAAGGACATAGACGAGGCGCCAGAGGCAGCCAAAGATGCAAATGCCGAGATGGATGCAGTCGAAGGTCCGACAGAAGAAGCTTTACAGCCTGAGGCTATTCCCACAGCAAGCGCCGGAACAGAGAACATCGAGTCGACATCAGGCGTAGCTGCTACAGAGCCAGAGCTGCAGCACGAGACCGAGACGGAGTATAAATCAGAGGCGGAGCAAGAGGCAGAACATCACGTTGATGAGCACGAGGACACCGCGGCAGGCAGCCAGGCCGATGCAGCAGAGACAAGTGCGGAGGCCGCAAAGGAGCTGGAGGGAGCAGCTGAGGAGGCTGTTGTAGCGGAAGATATGTCGATTTACACCTCGCAGTCTAAGGGGCCAGAGACTGCATCCGATATGCCCATCTTGAATTCGCAACACGAAGAGTCTGCGGCAGTGGAGGACGATATGTCGATTTCAACTTCGCAGTCTCAGAAGGACAACGAAGATGCCTCCAGCAGCAACGACATGGGCCCCCTTCCTACCAACGAAGACGTCGAACACATCCAACTGATTGCTAACGCTAAAGTGGGGGAGCATGTCGAGGGTCTTCTCGACTGGGCAGGCTCGCTTAGCAAGGAGGAGCAGTACTCTCCTTCCGCACCGGCGTCCGAGGCGAGCGATGACACAAACACCGAGCCGATCCCTGCAGCCGCATTGCCTTCAGAGACAGCCGCAGAAGTGGTAGATCTTGTCTCTGACTCAGAGGACGAGAGCGATTCGGATCAAGACGACCCTGATAAGGAGAACGATGGGTCGCTCGTCAACGCCACACCTCGTCTCGACTCTGACGCCACTTTGGCCTCCACCGTCTCTGGCAATTCGACGGATCATCGCCCGAGGGGTTCTCTAGTAGGTCCTCTGGCGCAAAAGCAGATTCTGGGAGTCAATCAGACTCGGAATTTGCCACAAGCAAACAGCTTGGACTCTGGCGATATCTCTGCCACAGAACAGATCAGAGCTATCGGTCGACAGACACGATTCTTTCAGCCAAACCGAGGACGAAACAATGTCCCGCAGACCTCGACACCCAGGCAGAGCCTTCCACCGGCACCTTCGCAGAACCGCTCGTTCCCCTTCAGCAGTGACATCTCTATCAACTCCACCAACGACACAAGCTTGGCCCGCAGAAGCAGCGACTATCGTAAACGCAACCCAATCTACCTCTCGCGCCACGCGAAAGAGGTCGAAGGCTACAACAAGCTTTCCATCATGCGCAGCGTCGAGAAAGCCATTCACAGGGTCAATAAAATTCGCAGAATGCATCGCCGGCCTCAGCTCTCCCACGAGAATTTAAGTCAGCTCAGCGAGAAAGTAATCAAGGTCCACAAGCTGGTATTGGCTGACAATCCGAGCATGGAGCCGATCGATGACTTTGTGGAGAAGATCACAAGGAGGTTGGCGATAAAGAAGCGAGATGCGGAGACTGGGGTTATGCCGCTGCCGAAAGCCAAGTTGGTGGAGAGGGAGAGACTGGAGAGGGAAAGAAGGGCGAAGGAGAGGAGATTGAGGGGCGTCTTGGGTAGGCCGGCCTTGCCGCCGACATTGGTGAATGAGCAGGAGCAGGAAGTGAAGGCGGTACTGCAGAAGCGAGGCAAAATCGCCGAGATTCCAGGTGCAGAGGTGAATGACCATGACGTGCAGAAGTTGAAGCCGAAACAGTGGCTTAACGATGAGGTCATCAACTTCTATGGCAATCTCATTCTACTCAGATCGAATGAGGCAGAGAAGAAACGCACCGAAGCGATGGCTGCCGCAAAGAACACTCCTCCTTCCCCCACTCCTCCAGCCGGCACAGCCGGCAGCAAGAAGAAGGGAAAGAAGACCAAAGTAACTCGACCATACAACAAATCGCTTGATGCATACTGGCGAGTTCACTTCTTTTCCTCCTTCTTCTGGGCAAACCTCAAGCAGCGCGGTTTCGACGGCGTCAAGCGATGGACTCGTCGAATCGACATCTTCTCTAAAGATCTCATCCTCTTCCCGATCAACCTGGGCAACTCACACTGGGTCTGTGGAGCGATCAGCATGCGCAAGCACCGATTCGAGTACTACGACTCGATGGGAGCTCCCAACCCCAGCGCATTCAAACTCATGCGGGACTACGTCACTGCCGAGGCCAAGGATAAGAAGAAGACAGAGATCGATCTGAGAGGATGGAGGGACATGTTCAGCGACGAAAGTCCTCAGCAGGAGAATGGTTTTGATTGTGGTGTTTTCGCCGCGCAGACTTTGGAGCAGATCAGTAGGCGCGATCCGCACACTCCGATACCGTTGGAGGCGCCGGTGATTCAGTGGAAGGGAGAGAGTCTGGATGAGGGTGCGGAAAGGTTGAGGATCGACAGTGTGGCTGTAGGAGAGGACGATGATGATGATGATGAGTTGGAGTATGAGTGGAACTTTGGGCAGGAGAATATGCCGTACCTGCGTAGAAGGATGGCTTATGAGATACACTCGAAGAAGCTGCTCGACTGAGTTAGAGCTGAGAAAGATCAAGATCAAGAAGACGAGAACAGTACTTATAATTGAAGCCCAATTTGTACTTCTACTGAACATCGTCCCGACTGCTTGATCGCTTAACTGTGCGTCTGGCCGATGTGATTTGAACCGTAGGCGCTCGTGCCTGTGAAGAATTGGGAGCTGCTTTTGGATGATACGATGATGAGGAAGAAGTCCGACGACCGAGACCCGTGTTCCAAAGCTCAAAAAAATCGCCGAGTGGAGGCTTTGGACCCTGTTCAAAATCTTCTTTTCTTCCAGACTTGCTCCTTGTCTCGCCTTTGCCTCTTCTTTGTCACTTCTTACGTTGCGTTTGGCTGCCATCATAAGCTCGTTGGCAATGATGGGGTCGATGGGCCAAGCGGGACTCTCGACTCTGCGCGGAGAGGAGACGTTGATACGATTCGACCATGTCCCAAGCTACTCCGAATTCTTCGATCGCTGCCTCCTCCCTAATCGACCGTGCATTCTCCCACCAGCCCTCATCTCACAATGGAACGTCGTCAAGTCTCAAACATGGCATCGCAAACCTAGCTCCTCACGTGTTTCTTCATCTTCCGACAAAGGCGACGACTTGGTGAATTGGGAAGCGCTCGCACAGGACTACGGCTCACACACATCCCCTGTCGTTGTTATCCATATCAACGCAGAAGGCGAAACAATAGAAAAACGCACCGAAATGACCATCGCTTCCGCCATCGATCTCATCCGGAAACACAAGCTCAAACAGGACAAGGACGGAGTACAATCGATATACATCAAAGACTGGCATCTGATCAAGCAGCTTCGTTCTCAACCTACAGCAGATGAACCCTACTCGGTACCGAATTTGTTTGCGGATGATTGGATGAACAACATTCATCCTTCCGGTACCGCAGGGGAAGTGGACGACTTTCGATTCGTATATGCCGGCACAGCAGGCTCACAAACTCTTCTCCACCGTGACGTGTACACATCGTATTCCTGGAGCACCAATGTAGTCGGTCGTAAGAAATGGCATATTTTCCCACCTCGAGCCATTCCACATCTACGGCGATTTCCAGCAGTCGAAACGTCTCAGCTCGTATCTGACATCCGAACGCTGCAAACACTCATGAAGGATTCGAACAGAAAAGACTATCCCCAATTGGAAAGAGCCTGGGAACTGATACAAGGAATAGACCAAGAGGAGGGAGAGACGATCTTCATCCCAAGTAATTGGTACCACCAAGTGTCGAACGTTACAGAAGCGATCTCGATCAATCGCAATTGGTGTAACTCGATCAATCTTCCCTCTTTGTACGAAGCGATCAAACGGGAGCTTGAACACGTTGAAGAGAGTCTTTGTGACGTTCGAGACATGCTGTCTGACAGCAGTGGGGGGAAGGATGGGGATGAGTGGAAGAGGGAGTTTTATGTGCTGGTTCAGGATGTGGCGGTCAAAGATGCTGGTTGGGCTTGGAAAGGGTTTTGGGATATGGTGGTAAGGAATCTGGAACATTCTGCAACAAAGCAGGATCTAAGGCCCAAAGATGGGTGGGTGAAGGAGAGACTCTTGCCGCTGGTGAAGGATTTTGGGCTAAGAGAGGATGGGAAGTGGCTAGATGGGGAGGGAATTCAGAACACAGTACAGAGGTGCAAGGGTCTTTTGGAAGATATGCGATGATTGACAAGACAGATTGCGACATAGTAGATTACATCATATGGCAAGAGAAGTATTAAGAGGAACAAGAAGGAAGGTTACCAGTCAAAGGACGGCCTAACGAACACAACCTTGCTTCCTCAGCGATCTCTTCATCACTCTTACCCTCCGCTGGCAATCCCCAATCATCGAACGGCTTCGTTGCCATCTCAAGCACCTTTGCCAAAACATCGGTATCGTTGTCCTGCTCCAAACGCTTAGCTACCTCATTGGTGACCCAATTGCGAAGCACAAAGCGTGGGTTCTTGGCCTTCATTTCCTCCGTCACCTCATCGCCATCTCTTCCTTCCTTCAGCAAGCGGCGGGCGTAGGTGAGCAACCAAGTTCGAGCCTGGGTCTCCTTTTGCGAGCGAATATATTCGGGGAGGATAAACACGTCGTACCACGGCTGCACACCTTCACCGCCGGCAAGGATGAGGTCGATGATCTCTTTGAGCTTCTCTTCGTCCTCAGATGTAGCACCACGGGCTTTGAGCAAGGCAGGTAGTTGGCAGAGTCTTCGAAGGGTCGTCGAAAAATCGAGATCTGTAAGCACGTCAGAGAGAGGGTCAATGGTCGCACTCTTATCGTCACTTTCTGCTGTCTTGAGGCCGAGTCGGGCACGGTAGGCTTCCTTCCAATGCTCCGAGAGTGTGCTAGTGAAGATGCCCTCGAGCTTCTCCGAGTACTCGTCCGAGCACAGGTCGGTCCATTCATCGATCTGAGCCGGAGTCGACTTCAAAAACTCGCCGGGCGCAGGGGCACGCTTGTGCTCGATCTCGAACCCGACCATTGGTGCAACAGCATTCAGCAACTCGCGAATGGCAAAAACACCCATCGTCGGCTGCAAACGATAAGTATACCTTCCTTCACTATCGGAATGGTTGCAAATCTGCCCTTCGTCGTAGAGGTCCATGAACGCGTACGGTCCATAGTCGATGGTGTGTCCGGTAAGCGCGATGTTATCGGTGTTCATAACGCCGTGCATGAAACCGTAGACTTGCCACAGTGAAATGGTCTTTGCGTTTCGGGTGGCTACTTCTTCCACCATCCTCTTCGCCCACGGTGGTCGCTGCTGAGAATCGTCGCCAACAGCACCGCCCTTGATGACGTCTTCGAACTTGAACAGATCGCGCGAGACGTATTCGCCAAGAACGCGGACCGACTCCCATTCACCACGCGAGCTGTGGATTTGAAACGAGCCGATACGCAGCCAAGAGGGACAGAGACGGGTGGTGATAGCTGCCATATTGACGCGTTCGCGGATGACATGCAGCTCGGGGAGGGCCACAACGGCAAGTGCCCGACTGGTGGGAATGCCGAGTGCACCCATAGCTTCACTGCAGAGGAATTCTCGAACACTGCTGGTGAGGGTTGCGAGACCGTCTGCGAAGCGAGAATAAGGTGTGCGACCGGCACCTTTGAGCTGGATCTCCCATCGTTGGTTGGTTTGGGGGTTCTTGGTCTCGATCAAGGTGAAGGCACGCCCATCACCAAGTTGGCCAGCCCATTGACCAAATTGGTGACCAGCGTAGCAGAGAGACCAAGGGGCATAGTCGGCTGTGTCTGCAGAGGCGCGTTTCTGTTCGAGCTCGTCAAGACGGCGCAAAATGCGCGCATCAACGGCTTCTTCTTCCTGTTCGCCTTTGATGACTTTTTCGCGAATGCGCATGTATTTTGTGCCGTATCCTGCACGGTCATCTGTCTCGAGCTCTTCTGGCTTGCCGGAAATGCGTGCGCCAATCATTCGGCCCGAGACAAAGTCGCTCAGTGTCTTACGAGCAGCAGCATCCGGTGAAGATCTATCACCGAAGTGAGCATCAGCAATGGGACCGGAGCTGTACGAGCTTGGACCAGCCGACTTGTTGTGACTTTTGATCCACTGGAGAGCATCACCAACATCCAGATGCGGCAAGCAATCTCGCAGTGCGGCTGGCGAGACCCCTAACAGGCGAGCTGATGGGAAATGCTGGTGTTGCCGACGGGGAGGAACATATCCTTTCAAGCCTTTCGATGCTGCGGGTGCGTCGCCATCATCATTAACGCCAGCTTCGGATGGCTGCACTTCATACCTTCGCAACATATGCTCGACTTCTTGCATCCTGCGCTTGTGTGCTTGTTCGATCTTGTTCTTCTTTTGCTCTTCCGTAAGCTGTGCGTCGTCCGTAGCATTCTGCTCGAGCTCCTGTTGGTGTCGTTCGCCCAATGACTGTTCGCCTTCTTCCTCCGGGGGAAAGTCGTATGGAAAGGAAAGCGGGAGGGTGGACAGGTAGCTGAAGTGGGCGCCTTGGCCAACCGGTCGTGCTCTGCGTACCAGTGAGGGCGAAGAGTCCGAGACGGAGACGATAGATCGAGGCTCCGGTGTGATCGGGTCGGGTAAGAGGTTGGCCGTCATGCGCTCCGAGGGAGGCACAATTGGCAAGCTGACAATATCGTACTTTCTAATACGCATGTTGGCAGCTGAGGTTGTGTGAAGAGCGTGGGAGTCCAAGTGATTTTTGAGTGCTTGAGTGCGAAGAGTTGCGGTGTGAAAAAGGTTGTTGAGAATGGTTGAGCGTGTGCGAATGGCTGCCAGTCGGTGGGTCAGAGTCATGAATCTTAAGAAGCTAGCCCATAAGGTCTTGATGGCGCTCGACTCGATGGTGGTCGTGAGCGAGGAAGGACATGGATTCTTGGAGCTGCAAGATGGTTCAAAGGCGAGCGAAAAGGCATGCAGTATGAATCAGTTTACAGTCATTCCTGTTCCCTTTTTGATAGCCGCAAGGTGGAGGTTGACTGAGCAAATCTTGTACGCAGGAAGACGCGCTGTTGCGTACGGGCGAGATTCAACAATGTTACGCCGTCGTTATTGCACACAACTGCATTCGGCTTTCCCCGCACAGGGAAGCTTCTTTAAAAGGGACGCGTCTGAAAAAGGAAACGGCACGTGTGTGTCTTTTTCTCTTTGTGTGTGTTCGTCTGTCTTCTTCCAAGTCGGCTCGTCTGTGTGCCATCTGCGCCCTGTGTCAAGGTGTTGGTTCGGCAGTGTTGAATGGATCAGGCCTTTGATCATTGTCCCGCAAGCTGGAACCACCACCATCTCTACCATCCTGATCGGCACTCCGGACCCTTGTTGTCCAACGCACGGACAACCCTTTGAGCCATGAAGGCCTCCCTTTGGCCATTGGCCTACATTCTCGCCGGCCTCGTCTTCCGTGCCGGCCTTCTTCTGTGGGGTCAACATCAAGACGCAACACACGCAGTGCCCTACACAGATGTCGACTACCTCGTGTTCTCTGATGCTGCCAAGCTTCTTGTCGATGGTTGTCCTCTTTCGCGCACAGTGGCCCAACCCGGCTACGAATCGGACGCTGATCTTCTGAACCGCACCGACATTCACTGTGCTCGAGGCATCGTGCCAGCAGCAGCGCGCTTCCTCCTGGCTAACGATCCAAACAGCCATACTCCAGCGGATAGACTCAAGCCACACGACTCGGACCACATGTATTTTTGGGCCAAGCAATGCTACCGATTCGCCAAAGCAGCTTTCGATCTACTAGCTTCGCTCGGCGACCCATATGCTAGGCCGACATATAGATATACTCCGTTCTTGGCAGCGATACTGTCACCAATCCATGTGTTTGGCTGGACCAACTTCGGCAAATACATCTTTGCGGTATCGGATCTTCTGTGCGCGGTGTTCATGTGGTTGATCCTCGATGGTCGTCGCCCACAAGGGTCATCAGCTGGCATTTACGTACATCTGCCTGGCTTGTTGTGGATTCTCAACCCAATGGTTGCGCAGATATCAACTCGCGGATCGTCTGAAGCACTGGTAGGGCTACTTGTCTTGTCGTTCATCTACTTCTTCCTGAAGGCAAACCCAGAAGCTCCTTTGGGGCTCAAAGCCAAGTATCTCCCTGCTTTCACATCTTCACCCTTCGCAAACGGTGCAGACGACGACTCAAAGGACATATCACAGGTAAAATCAGAGCATGATCTGGACGAGGCACCAACATACCAAGTAGTCCCACCAGAAAGTGCCTACAACGTGCTCGATTGGTCGTTGGAAGCCTACATGGCCCCGATCCTGCTTGGTCTCGCGACCCACCTCAAACTTTTCCCTGTCATCTACGCAGTCCCCATTCTCGCCCACTTGCATCGATGCACAATCTCGGCATACTCCCCCGATCGCCGCGCATCGCTCAGCCTATGGACAAAGCACGCAGCAGGAATGCAATTCGGTTTTGTCGCATTCTACGCTTTCATGGCCGCCAACTTTGTCGCTTGGCTACTCTGGGGCTCTCCCTTCATCGATCACACTTTCCTCTACCACTTACACCGTGCCGACCACCGACACAACTTCAGCCCTTACTTCCTCGGCACCTACCTTTCACTCTTCAACTCGACCACCACCCATGCATCTCTGGAAACACGCATTCTCGCATCACCACTACTCTCGTTCCTCCCTCAACTTCTCACCGTCACTGCGCTAGGGTATCACCTGGGCAGACGCGACGTAGTGGCAGCAATGACAGCACAGACGATCGCCTTTGTCGCATTCAACAAGGTCTGCACCAGTCAGTACTTCCTCTGGTTCCTCTGGCTCTTGCCGCTCGTTTGGCCCAGTCTCAAGGTGGGTAAAGTCGAGACGGGGATCGCATTGCTAGCATGGGTTGGAGGCCAGGCTTTGTGGCTTTCGCAAGCGTATCAGCTCGAATTCGAGGCAAGGCAGGTCTTTGCTAGGATTTGGGCCAGCGGGTTAGTGTTGGTGCTGGTTCATGCTGGGTTGTTAGTGTGGTTCTTGTCGTCATGGACAAAGTTCAGGGTCAATGTTCAGAAGCATGGGCTCAAGGCACAGAACGGTGCCGTGGTCAAGACAGTCAAGTCTCAGTGAAGAGTTATTGATCATATGAATTCGCTGTCTGTAGTGAGTAGTAATTGGAATCTTGTTGTCACCTCTTGTTGCCACCACCGCTGTATGAAGCTGCCTGACTGCACCATCGAAATCTTCGCACTGCAGTATCTTGGGGCTTTGAGATGGTCAGACGTACGCCTTGATCAGATTCGCGGTGATGTTGGGAGGCCTAATTGAGGGAGAAGGCAGCAGACCAAGATAGCCCGTCGGGGATCAGTAGGGTCCAATTCACCACGAGGCACGAAAATTGGCAACGCATCAACCAGCCAGCGAGGGAAGCTCCTGATCAGGTGTATGGAAGGTCTGTCGGTGGCACGAAACCAGCATTTGCCCGCTGACTTTCCGACACCTTCGCAAATCAGCTGAAGGCACGGGCAAACGTGCAAACCTTCATCTCGCCACTGAGCGAGATCAAGCTGACATCGAGACACGCCAGTTCGGCCAATACGATAGTTTTAGCCGAGCCCAAGTTGCAAACAGCATGAATGAGAAACGAAGCAGGCAGAGCATGGGATCCGACAGAGCACGTAGACAGACCGCAGCATGTCATTGTGAACGAAGAGCGCCAAGCCAAAGCAGCAGCCACAATTACCCACGGACGTCGAGGAAGAAGTGAGCAAATCAGCAATGACAATGACAAGATCGAGACAGCAAGCGAGAGAGCATGTGCTCATCTTGGTTGCCAATGTGAGAGCGAGAGCCAGTCAAAGTCTCTACTACTACACTGTGTCTTTCTGAGCTAAGGTTGCCGGCTCAAAAGTTGCAGATTGTGGTCTGATTTTTGCACACGCGCCGCGAATCCATGCCTTCTCTGTCGCGTGAAGGGGCAGCTCTCGGGCACCAGGCCAGTGTTGGATCGACGTGACGACAGAGGGTAAAAGGGACTGATTCATCAGCTTCTCTGCTTCTTCTGGTTCGTCTCGGAGGAAGTGACCCGTCGCGCTTGGCCCTCTCTGAAAACTCAATCTTTTCCTTCTGCTTTCTTCTCGAAATCTGGTGCACGGTCAAATGAATGTCAGAACAGGCGGACCGGACCTTGTCGATCCTTCTAAATCTCATTTTCAATTTCTTAGCTTACCTCGCCCCTCGCTTCTCATTGAAGCAGGGTCGTTGCCTGAAGGTAGCTGTAGCAAAGGGGGCGTGCGCCCCACCTATCGGATGTCAGCCGTTCATATTCTTTCCATTTTCTTTGCTGCAGTCATACAGTATGTCCGCGGTGGATGAGAAGCGGTGACATGTGGGCGCTTTTGCTTGTCACAGCGCCGTTGCGGTAAAGTGAGTCTCAGACCGGTGGTGATCACGCAGGATTGACAACACTCGGGGCCTACTGACCACTTCCTCGTTGGAGGGCGTGCTCGCTGAAGGAGGCATTCCTCGGAACTGCCGAACGCTGAGTTTTCTTTCGTTTGCTCGCCACGACGAGCGTCGGGAAGTCTCTTCCGCTCCTTTGCATGCTTCAATCGATGTTGATGCTCATCCAGTAAGGGCCATGCAATCCGCGGCTTTCTGTCTCCTTTTGACTCAAGCTGCAGCGCTTTGTGTGTGGACGGATGGACAAGCCGCACTCCATCTCCACGCCATAGAGTTGCCGAGATTCCAGTGCCAGTCAAGTGTGTCTTTTTTGCCGTCTACTTCAGAAGGGCAAAAAAAAAAAATCAAAAAAAATCAATCAATCAAAATGACAGTTTTTTCATCCATTTCGGTTTTCTATCACTGTCCAGTCAGAGAGTGCCTCGGTTGCGGCGACTCTCGAAGAGCAGCAGCGGCAGCAAATACCAAGCTCAAAGTTTAACTCGTTCAGTTTTGCTCCTCCGACGCCCTTGCCTGCTCAGCTTGGCGACGCTCGCATTCTTGGCTTTGACTTTGACGTTCTCCTTCCTTCGGATGGTCCGAACTGAGCTGAGACCTTTGAGCTGACCTCTGCCTTTACATTGCCTTCCGCACCTCCATCCCGACCCTCATCTTCGACGACAACCATCCCTGTTGCGTTTCCGCACCCTCATTCTTCCTCCTCCTCACTACCTCCCGCCTGTTCGGCGACTGCTGGAACTTGTCTGTATATCCAGCCATCCATCGGCTCTTCCGATCCCATCATCCGTCACTGGCTGTCGCACCTTACTCAGCTCTCGACTTGCCGCTCACGATCTCTTAGGCCCCTGCCGCTTCGGAAAGCACCCAGGTACATCGTTTCCGCTTGCTACTTGCTTCATCTAGATACCCTCTATCGCATCGTACCGAGCATCCTCGCTCCATCTCTGGACTCTTCCTTCATCCTTCATAATGGCTTCTCTTCTTAACCCTGGCCAGCACGGCCTTAACTTTTCGCGATCATCCACCGCCGCGCCATTGACCAAGTCCGATTCGGCCCTTGGAAAGGTCTTTTCGATCATCGACTTGGCCCGCCTTCCATTGCTTCAGGAGGCTGACCGCACCACCGTGGTCTTTGCCATCCTTGCCGTCGTTGCCACTCTTCTCCTGGCCGAGCAGTACAGCTATCAGAAGAAGAAGGCTCACCTTCCTGGTCCTAAGTGGTGCATCCCCATCATCGGCAAGTTTGCCGACTCGCTCAACCCATCGCTCGAGAAGTATCAGGAGGGCTGGAACTCTGGCCCATTGAGTGTTGCTAGTGTCTTCAACATGTAAGTTGCCTCCTACACCGGAATTTGCTCTGAAGAAGCTCTATTCAAGGCTGACGTGCGGAATGCTGACACGATGTTTATCCACCTTTCTACTCTGCTTTGTTTTCTGCAGCTTCATTGTTATCGGCTCATCGAACGAATACGCACGCAAGATTCTCAACAGCCCAACGTACGCTGAGCCATGTCTCGTTGCTTCGGCCAAGAAGGTGCTCTGCCCTGACAACTGGTACGTATCTTGTAGCGCCTTGCTGAAGAAGGCATGCGGATGTGGCGTTTCTTTCCGCTTGGACTTCATAGCGGGAACGGAGTTGCATTCTCAGCGTGGGCGGACGCGTTTTGTGCCGCTGATGCGCACAGCTCGCCGCAAGTCTCCCACGTGGATTCCAAGCTGATCCTCTCATTTCAATTCTTCTGCCTCTACCAGGGTCTTCTTGAACGGCAAGACTCACGTCGACTACCGCAAGGGTCTCAACACCCTCTTCACCCGTAAGGCTCTTGGTATCTACCTCGGCATCCAGGAAAACATCTACAAGCGCTACTTCGAGGAGTGGCTCAATGACACCAACCCCAACCCTCAGCCATACATGATGAAGTTCCGTGATCTCAACATGGAGACTTCGCTTCGCGTCTTCTGCGGCAACTACATCCCAGACGAGGGTGCTAAGGAGATCTCGGACAACTACTGGCTCATCACTGTGGCGCTCGAGCTTGTCAACTTCCCCTTCGCTTTCCCCGGTACCAAGGTCTACAACGCAATCAAGGCACGAAAGACGGCCATGAAGTGGTTCGAACTTACGGCCCGCGAGAGCAAGAAGCGCATGGCAGAGGGCCAGGAGGTTACCTGCTTGACTGATGCTTGGATCAAGGCTATGATTGACGCTCGTTTGCAGAAGGAGAACGCCGACCTCGAAGCCGAAACTCGACGTGTCTTGGTTCGTCACTTCTCCGACCGCGAGATTGGCATGGTGTTGCTCTCGTTCCTTTTCGCCTCGCAGGATGCTATGTCTTCTGGTCTCACCTACCTCCTCCAGCACGTTGCCGACCGACCTGACATCCTTGCCAAGGTTCGCGAAGAGCAGTACCGTATCCGTGGTGACGACGTCAACACCCCTCTTACCTACGAAGCTATCGAGCAGATGGAGTACACCAAGGCCGTTGTCAAGGAATCGCTCCGTATCAAGCCTCCTGTCATCATGGTGCCTTACCTCAACCACAAGGACTTCCCCATAGACAAGAACTACACCGTTCCCAAGGGCAGCATGGTCATTCCAAGCTTCTGGAACTCGCTTCACGATGAAAACGTCTATCCCAAGCCAGACGAGTTCAAGCCTGAGCGATGGCTCGAGGAAAGCGACCCAGCACAAAAGAACCCCAAGAACTACCTTGTCTTTGGTAGCGGTCCTCACAACTGCATTGGCCAGCAGTACGCCAACATGCATCTTACCGCTGTGTTGGGTACCGCGAGTGTATTGATGAACTGGGAGCACGAGGTGACACCACTCAGCGAGAAGGTTGAGGTGATTGCAACCATCTTCCCTAAGGATGGTGCCAGGATGAAGTTTTCGCGCCGTACGGCTCCTGCTCCTGGTACTGCTCCAGAGGTTGCAGCTCGCGCATGAGCTTGATCGTAAACGGGCGATGCGTTCGCTTTGCTGTTGCTCTCTTGCAGAGAAGACGAGGGGCAGCAAGCGGGATGCACACGAGTCAAAAAGTGGACTGTTTGTTTCAATAGTCATATGTAAGATCATCAGGCTACCTATGTAATCAACCCTGTAGAATCTAAACGTTTCGCAAAGCAAACTGAGGCAGTCGATGGCGTGAGCAGTGCAGATTGAGTGCGATAGTGCGATTGAGAGAGTGATACAAGTACAGAATGGATCCAGAAGAGATATGCAGAGAGAGATGGAAGAATCAGCGCTTTGGCTTTGCGTTGCCCTTGTCGAAAGCGAGAGTGTTTTGAGCGTGAAGACGGAGTGCCGCGAAAGGGTTCTTGGTGTAAGCCGGGTCGGAGAGAATCAAGTTTTGACGCTGCATTTCCAGCGTCCTGTGCAAGTGCAAGTGATTGAGAAAGGAAAAGAAGCGTCACATGGTCAGTCAAATGCTTCTTCTAGTGGCAACACAAGGCAAGTGCACTCCCAGCTGAATACTTACAAAGCCTTTTTTCTTGCCTTTTCTGTCACAGTGGCGTCCTTCTTGGTCTTTTGGGCTCCTACCAGAGGGTATGCCGAAGTTGCGTTATTTTGCTGTCTTGATGCTCGTGCGACCATGTCGTCGTCATCATCATCATCATCATCATCATCATCATCATCATCATTGTCGTCGTCCTCCATGCTGTTTACCTCTTCCTCTCCCTCATCTTCATCTTTCTGCACTCGTTGAGCAACCTCGTCCATGGCGTCAGCGAGATCCTTCAAGCCGGCCTGGTTACCGGCCAACTGCTCCTTCTGTTTCCTCTTCTGCCTTCTGAGCGAAGATTTCGAGAGCGAGCCATTGGCGGGTTCAAGATTGAGCAGAGATGGGCGCGCGGAGGGGTTGACTTTGGACATGAGCTCAGCGCGCTTCATCGCCCGCTTTGCTGCCTTTGTGATCTGAGTTGGCGGAGCAGCAGGGGCGTTGGGTGCCGATGTGCTGGATCTCGATCGTATTAAAGCCGTGACTGAGGACTTGGACTTGGACTTGGAACGTGGGGCCGAGCGTCCTCGGATGCCTTGATCTGCGCGAACCATCTTGATGAGTGTAAGGGCATGAGAGGCTCGACGAAGTTGGTTGAGAACCCGAGTTGAGCTGCAAAACGTGGACAAGATGGTGTACTTTTTTTTTTCCAAATGCAGCCTAAATTTTGATCGCGATAGATCATCGGCCCCGATATCCCGATGCACACTTTTCTTCGGCCTAGCGTGAAAACGTGGAAAAGTTGCGCACAGACCTTTTGGAAAAGCGAGTTCGAGGCTGCACATGGATGCAGGCGCACAGCCAGTCAAAAGTCAAACCACAACACAGACACACACACGCAGAGAAAGGGTCCTCTCTATCGGAGGCTGAACTCTCAATCTCACACCAGCTGATGATCTTCGCTCGCTTGTTTTCTTGTCTTGCTCGTTGTCGACATCAGTTATTGCAAAAGACATGTTTTGATAGCATGGTTGAGATGATGTGTCTCTTCTGTCTGCAATGAGGATTGAAGTCCGACTTTTCCAGCTTGCAAAAAGGGTTGAGCTGTGGTTGTGTGGCGCTGACCCTTTTCATCTTGTCGTCACGCAGGTCGAGTTTGACAGCGTCTCTGAGCCGCCGCCTCCGCCTCCGCTCTTATAGCAAAAGTGAATCTGTGTGTTGTGGGTCAGCTCTTGCGGTCGCTGCTCTTTGACCTCGAATCCTTCGAGCCATTCAATCTTATCCTCTTCCTCAGAATCCTATCTTCCGCTTCTCCTCGCGCAAGCTTTTCCACCAGCCCGAGCTTCGCACCGAGAAGAACGCTCATTATTTGCTGTTGGAAAGCTGAGGCGCTCTGCTTATTCAAGCTTCGTCTGGCCAACGTCAAGTCAAGTGACCATCTCTGCATTTCTCGGTCGTTATCCTTGTCAGCAGGTTGTGGCCCGCTACCCCACAAGAACTTGGTCGCTCTTCGACCTTCTCAGCTGCAGTTCGTATACAGTCCTCCTCCTCAACCACTATAGCCATCAGAGACGCTTTGAGGGCTGTCTGACGTGTGGACAAAGCTCGTCTAGAGATCCAGGTCCGTTCTCACCATCTGTCCTCCCTACTGAAGAATTTCGACTCACATGGACTGCTTCTTTCTCCGAAACCTACTCACATCATAGCATCCAGCCATGGTGGCTTCTCGGCCACATGACCTTTATGACCGCAATCATCCCGTGGAGCCTGGTTGCGTCGACCTCGCAAACATGCCCTCCAGCCTCAGCATGGATGCCGAGTTCTGCAGTCAGTCCTCACAGCCCTTCCGATGGAGCGACGACGCCAAGGAATCAGACGAAGATATGCTTACAACACCCGACACATCTGGACCAGGCACACCAGCAACCGCACATACACGCAGCCCGACTCCACTCGTCGTGGCTTACTGCGGCACTGAACCGAGACAAGTCGCAATCACATCAGGCGTAAGATCTTGGACTAAACATCAGGCATACGGTGCCAGCGACGCACTCATCAAGTATGCTACATCTTCGCCTCTACTACCACAACAAATTGCCGAGATGGTCTCAAACCTAAGCGTCATTGCTCGTGTCTCGCTCAAAGCTGCCGCATTTTTCATCGAGATCATCCTGGAGGCTGTCAAGAACAGCACAGGAATAACTCTCGGCATCACTCGGCGTGCGCTCATCAGTGCTGTCGGTACTGCTCGAGCTGTACATTCGCTGGCTACTGGCGAAATATGGGACGCCAAAGCTACAGGGAGGTCACTACAAGCCCTCACACCAAGCTTCCTCAGCATCCTCGACAAATACACAGCTGTCGGCATCTACCTCATCCACCACACTTTCACTCTAACTGAGCTCTTTGCCATGGGCACCTTCTCACTCGTCGGCACAACCTTGACTGCGGGACTTGCGGCTGCGGACGAGTCAGTCCGCACCATCGACGGCATCTTTGGATCCAACGAGACATCCCGTGCCCTCGCTTCCTTCATCACCCTTGTTCGCGGAGAAGTTAACAACGACTCTCGCTTCGCCAACGACAGCACCGTCTCGATCCTCAACAAGCTCACCAAGGCTGTCACTGCATTCGCCGTCTTGCAGAATTCGACGTACAAGCGCAGCGCAAAGAGTATGAAGATGTGCGTCATCTATGACTGCACAGTGCTCGGTGAAGTGGAAGCAAAGAGCTGGCGATCTCTAATGGTGGGTTCGGGTAACTTTGTACGCACTCGACCGGATGCGTTGCTCGCATCGACCGCCGAAGAGCTTGAGACACTTTCGTTGCGTTCGCCACCTCGCGGAACAGCGTCATTGCTTTCATCCGATCTCTACATGCATTCATCCCAAAGCGGCGCCAGTTTTCCCTCGTCCAGATCGAGAGGCTTTCTGGGCGATGGGCTCTGTCTCACTGATGTCAATCCAGCAACATCACATAGAAACGTATGGCAGTCGAATCGGGCGCATCCCAACGCCGACGACTCCGGCGTTGAAGCAGATGTTGCTGACGATGCCTCCCTCATTGCCGACCTCAACTTCCTCGTAGGCGCTGATGATGGCGACGCGTCTATTGACTCTAACCTAACGGACGAACAGCTGCCAGCGCATCTGCGCCAACAACTGCAAGCCTACACTGATGATCAGCTTCGTGATGGCGTAGTGTTGCAGGACGAGTCGGATGAAACACCGAAGCAGCACTTCAGACGCATCCGAAAAACCAACAGAGCAAACGATAACAGAGAGACGGTCTATGAGATCACAACCGAGATCCTTGAGACAGTTGAGACGGTCACCACTGTCGAAGAGACACATGCTACGAGAGGTGGTGATATCCATCACGTCGATGCTTCGGCACTCGAAGCCTTGTCACCACTTCACGGGACCGCTGCTTTGCCAAGTCCAGGCTCATTTCGCTGTGATGTTACAAGCTCGAAAAGCGGCACAGAAACAAGGTCCATCTTCAACGGCGGCAGAGAGACGAAGCTCGAGGAAGATGAGGAATGGTGTGAGATCCGCACCACCAATACACAACACGAAGGAAAGGAAATACAAGCACAGAACGGTGGTCCTACCGAGTCGGACAAAGCCGCGTCAATGGCGGTAGTGATTCCTGAAGCACCGAATGGCAACAGTATGCATGGAAAGGGCAAAGGTGAGGGCTCGTCAAAGATGCCGGTTGTGCTCAAGACGATGACGAAGAAGCTCATCCAGAAGCGTAAGACCATCAGGAGGATCGAGGTGGACGATACGCATGGTGACATGGACCCTGCCATGGCTTCAAACGTGGCGTCCTCGAGTGGTTTCTTTGGGCGATCACGTAGTCCTGATCCATCCCGAATCTCTGCCGTCGCACTTGTCAGTCCCGTCCTCTCGTCTATTACCGCTTCAGTGAGCAGATCGACCAGAGGAAAGGACGACGATCGAGCACAAACAAGTCGCTCTCGTCAGGCCTCTTCGCAAGGCAAAGGTACAGATCTTGGTCTGGGACTCAACAAAGTGCTAAAGCGTGCCAAGCATCCTTTCAAGACGCACCAGCAAGAAGGAGTTTCGGCACATCCGAAGCTCGAACCCTCGCCAAAGATTCCCACACCACCAAGCATCGCTGTCGACTCACCGTCCCGAACGAGTGTGCCACGCCAAACAGCTCCTTCAATCACACCCTCACAGCTATCGTCTCCTAGCAAAAGCAAAAGGGGAACTGATCAGACTTTCGGAACTGAGTCAAAGGTATCGAAACGAGGTGTGGCTGGAACAAGCGCTCGTGCTGTGATGAAAGAGCTACTTTCGATTCCACAGCGTGGTGCGTCCCAAATGTCATTGTGCCCGGCCGAATCGATGAAAGCCTCAGTCACCCCTGCCACTCCGCAAGGGTCGTTGCGGGAGGGAAAACGACGCAGCAGAGCACCCTCCATCACCTCGATTCGCTCCTTTACTTCAAGATCGCACATCTCAAGCGTCTCTGCAGCAGCCAACTTCGAGAAGGGCAAACATGGTTACGATCCATCAGCATTCCCACAAGCGCACTTGGTGGAGAATCTTCGTCGTTTCATGCGCTACTCTTCTGCTGCTTACGGTCAGAACTTCATGCGAATCCTTGGCATTGGAAGCCTGGACTACTTCTTCCCTGATACCAGCAAGCATCATGCCAATGTCTGGGCTTTTGCTCACCATGTTGGCATCCCAGTCGACTGCATTTTGCTCAACAGCTTTTCCGAAGCTCAACCGCTGTTCACTGAGCAGATGTCGCCTTTGGTCAACTATGTTGCGGTGGATGATGCAGCAAAAGCGGTCGTGTTGACTTGTAGGGGTACAATGGGGTTGAGTGATATTCTTACCGACCTGACGTGCGACTTTGAGACGATCGCAGTGGAAGGTGGAAGGTCGATTAAGCATTACCAGGTGCATTCGGGGATGTTGGCGAGTACGAGGAGGTTGTGTAATGAGAATAGTACGGTTATGCAGACGTTGAGGATGGCGTTAGAGGATCGCCCGGATTATGGGTTGGTGATTACTGGGCATTCGCTAGGTGGTGGTGTAGCTTCCTTGGCAGCGGTGGAGTTGAGTTGTCCAGCTGATTTGTTCAAGCAACAAGCGTTGAGGAAGAGAGCTGATACGGGACAGTATGTGCAACATCCACGGATTTATACGCCGTTTGTCACTTCGCTGGATAGCGGGCTTCCGCCTGGAAGACCTATTCATGCCTATGCGTATGGTGTACCGGCTGTGGCGAGCCCGGATCTTTCAGCGCACTGCAAGGGGCTGGTTACGAGTATTATACATGGACATGACTTTGTTCCGACCTTGTCGTTGGGAATGGTTCGGGACTTTAAGAACATCGCGCATGCCCTTAGCGAGGAGAGTGACTCGGATGTCGCACGCGAGATCGTCACTCGGGTCCTTGGGACCTACCGTAAGCGATCCGCCCTCCGCGCTACTCTTGGATATGCAAATAAACAACCCAGTCATCTGGCATCACTAGAACCACCTCGACCACAAGAGATTCCTCTCGCCGAACGCGAGATCCAACTTACCCAGGAAGAACTTCTCAAAGGCAAAACACGCAATCTCGCCACCGACTCCAACTACACCGATCCAAATCTTAAAGAAGACGAACTCGATCCCTTCTCCTACTCCTCCGGTGGAGGTCACATCCGGTCTTCCCCCTCAACACCACTCCCACAAGAAGCAGATGGAGGAGATTCAGAGTTGGCAGATTGGCTCTGGTCGCTCATCAAGACGATTCGTGCCGATATGGATTCAGCTAAGCTCTACCCTCCTGGTGATGTCTACTGTATCGAAAGTTTCCCTGTGTTTGTTACGCCACGGATGCAAGCGGATTCAAAAATTGTCCATGAAAGGGAAACGAAAGCGAAGGGAGAAGGGAAAGGGAAGCTTAGGGCAGAAGCTCATAGAGTTATACTCAGGTATTGCCAAGATGTGGAGAAGAGATTTAGCGAGCCAGTGTTTGCGAAGAGCATGATGAGGGATCATATTCCTACGAATTACGAGCTGTGTATGAGTTTGTTGTATAAAAGTGTTATTGATAGTGGGGTGGGGGTGTAGTTGGGGGAGGAGCGGATAAGGTTAGAGAGGATACATGCATTTCACTTTGATACCCGGAATACAAGGATTGCTCACGGATTTGTTCCTCTGGCTTTGAGGTTCGGTTGTGATTGTGGTGTCAAGACAAAAGACGAGGAAGAGCAGCGGTTATGCTTTGGACAGTCGCTTCATCGACGCCCGAAGCTGCGCCCCACTTCGTATCGAGCAAAGTCATTTCGAGTTCTTGCCATGTTTCCAGTTTGCCACCTTCCTCTTCGTCAAATGAAGCGCTAGAGGAAAGGACAGCATAGAGCTGTTCAGCCGTCTTGACCCTGACCGTTGGAAAAGAATGTGTTAGAAACGATTCCACTGTCTTCACCAACAGAAGAACCATCTTTTCCCTCCCATCTTCCTCATTCTCTCTGGTGATGGCCAGGATAAGGTTCGCACACAGAGCAGCAGATGCCAGCAGACGAGGAACAGATTTAATCTTTCCAACATTTGTAGTTGCCATCTTGACTAGCCTAATGAGAATGTCACCCATTCCATCTTCATGGGCACCGTTCTCGAGGAGGAGATTAACGGTTTGTATGGCGGGGATGAAGATTCGGTTGTCGCCGAATTTGCGTTTGCACAGATCGAAGATGTTGCCCAGCAGCTGGACCAGGGTGTATGCTGCAGAGGTGGTGGGAAGGGAGGTGAGCGCGGGACCGATAATGCGTTCGCCAAGGTCGGATTTGGAACCGACGCTGATGATGAGGCCTTCCAGAATCGGAGCGCGGTATGCGGGGATGAAGAGAAGCTGGCAGAGACGAGGGAAAGCTACTTTGGGATCTCTAAAGCTGCGATGAAATGTTGAGTCTTCTTCGCTGTTTGCTGCGCTGGGAATGGGTAAGTGGGATGCTGACTGCTCGAATGGGCGGAGACAGTGATGTCCGTAAGTAGACTTGACGATCTCGTACCCTGATAGCTTTGCGCTAGATGCGACATCGTCATATGCGTGGTACACGGCCAGGACGCTCGTACCTGCAGTGTGTCGAACATGGTCGATTCGCTCTGCTGCTTGCTTCCACATCGCGCCGATTGCTTTTTGAAACTCTTCGTCTGTTAGCCACGACTTCGTCTCAGTCTCTTTGAGAAGGATGAGGATCTGTCGCAAGCCAGCAATACAGCTGAGCCGAACCCAGGATCCCACATCACCACGTTGATCCGTCGAATAGTCTTGCAGCCCGACCAACATCGACTCCACCACATTCCATAGCAGTGCGGAGGTGCAGATTCCTGTAAATCGATCCTGTAAACCCACCACGGCACGAGTGATGCTGTCCACCGCGTTACGGCGGACTTCGATATTCTCTGAATACAACGCATTCGGTGTCAGCTTCGTACTTGTTCGACCGAGAGAAATCAACTGCCTGATTACCGCCTCGAACAGCTCCGCATGTCGACGAAAGTCAAGAGCACCAAGCAGAAGCGTGTTGCTTTGCTGCTGAGCAAGTGTCAGACTTGACCATCCGTCTAATGTCAATCGGATCTTGGATGACAAATCGACACTAGTACTGAGTTGAGAGACGGCTTCAGCTGCAGCAGTGTGCACGATCTCTTCATGGCGGGCGAGAGCGAGGTTGAGGATTTTCTCCCACGTTTGAGTCTCGTTCTCCGAGGATACGGTTGTAAGTGAGAAGCCTGAGCCGATGAGGCGGCATGCTGCTTGCAGGATAGATGCTGCGCCGAGGGAGCGGAAGACACTTGGGCGGACCGAATCGAGAAGGTCAAAGGCTTGTGCTCGAACGCGCTCTCTTACCGCAGCTTGGTCGCTTGGAAGCGTCCGGGATAGTCGACACAGTTCAGCAAGGCTCAGCAGCGTTCCATGCAGAACAGCGATGTCGGCTGTTTCGATGCGCTTGCTGAGTCGAGTTGTGATCTCTGCAAGTAGCTGAGCGGGCTCGTGCATTGCGATGAGCGCCACCGACTGCGCTCCCAATCGACGCATCGCTGGATCCCAGTGAACAGTCACGACGCGAAGCAAGTGATCCACCAAATATCCTCTGTACTCTTCAAAGCCACCTACTTTGACTGCACAGTCGAGGAAAGCGTTCCGCCGAACACTAACAGCGTAAAAGTCGGTCATTCTGATCACATCGATTCCATGCGCAAACAAGCCCAGCCTTCCGACCGACTCTTGGAACGCGGCACTTGCTGCCCTCCTGATCGACACGTCTCTATCCAGTGTCGCCACTGCAACCAGCCTCTTCGCCAGGTCCATCGCATGCGGTCGAATCGACTCGACATCATTCGATCTCGCCAACGCCCACACAACGTAGCATGCCGCGTCCCTGACATTGGCCCCTACCGAGTGTGCGCCCCTTCTCACATCGAATAGCAGAGCTTGCAAGATCCAGGGCAATGCTTCCGACAGCATGTCAGCGAAGAGCAGTCCTCGACGAGCGAGCTCTGCTAAGGCCATACAGGCGCCTTGCCATGTGTGTTCTGAGACTGAGCTGAGATCCGTCGCGCCATTGTATAGGTCGGGTATGTTGATGTGGAACAGCGAAACGATTGCTTCCACAACCTGATCCAAGAATGAGTTGGGCAAGCGGTCGCAAAGTCTAGCCAGACCTTTTGCTGCGCTGTAGCGTACTACTGTGTCTTTGTGCTGCAAAGCCTCGATGAGGTACGAGATGAAAGATTCAATCTCTTCTGGGATGTCTGATTCGTCATCATCTTCCTCCTTCTCGTTGGAGACCCTCTGGGGTCCGCTACTGCCAAGGATATGAACCTTGTTCGCATGTCGACGAGCACGTGGGCGCAACAGCTTGAGTGATAACCTACTGACTAGCTTGGTCTGATACTTGACGATGAGCCCGTTGCCAGCGAGAGCAGCATTGTGTTCTGTATCGCATGCATCGACAATGCTCTGTATTGCAGCAAGATGCGTCACCACAAAGGTGGGCTCGCTGGTTTTGAGAATCTCGCATAGTGCTTGTAGGATTCCTGTGGCGTGGAAGGGGCTGACCTTGCCGACCTTAAGTGCGTCAAGGCTGGTGGAGAGGAAAGTGTTGAAGAGATTTTTCTGCTGAACATCGTTGCGCTGGAACAGTCGACCAAGAACCACTGCAGCTGCATCGCGTTCCTTTCCTGGACTTGTGATAAAGTGATTCGCTACGGCTGCGATCCTGGAGGCAGTCGTCTCCGTGCTTGCCTGGCCTGGCTGATCGAACTTGGCTAAATCGAATGGAATCATACAGATGAGCGAGAGCCAGAGAAGGCAAACGTAGCGGAGCTCCCAGCAGCCTTCCTCATTTCCGGCGGCGGATGTTTGCAGATCCTCAAGGAAAGCTAGTGTCGCTGGCAGCTCGGCTACTTCATGCGGAAAGTAGTGCACGATGGTCTTGTATCCGCGGACCTTTGTGTAGGCATAGACGAGCTTGCTTAGTCGAGTCACTGCTTCTATTGGCAGTTGGTTGCAAGTGTCGGCATCTTGGGAGTTGGCAAGGGAGTGTACATGAAGCTGAAGTGCCTTGACGGGGGGTGACACGATACATTCAAGGTAAGGGTCGAGCAGGTTCGACTGGTCCTGGTACTCGTCTAGGATGCTGATGAGCGTGCCGAGTACGCCATCTGGCGTCTTGGTCGTGGCGTCCAGCCTTGACGATGTCGAAGCAATGCTGGTCGGACTAGTGCCGGCCTGCACTAGCTGAGAGAGGAGCGAGATGTACTCGTCTGCCCGTTCGAAGCGGACGAGCTCCTTCTCTTCGACAACCACTGCAGGGTCATCGATGATCGCTTCTGCTGATGACATGAGGACATGTGATCAAGCCACACGAGCCACTGCGACTGTCGATCTGCCGGTTTCAGGCGATCAGAAAGAATCGACAGTCTTTCGAAGGTGTCGGTGAAGTAAAGCGAACGATGACTCCAAAGTTTAGATGAAGTTCCAAAGTGTTGGTCTGAAGCGTTCCAAACGAGCTTTCCGCGGAGAAAAGAGAGGACAGCATGGAATTGGTCAGCTTGGTCCGTTCGTTGGACCCTGATTTCGTCTGAGAATCTTCCACACCTACATAAAGGGCTTCAACGGCATTTTCGCAGAGATTCAGATCAGACATGCCAAACGTGTCTGCCCCGTGCTTAACCCCCAGAGGGGGCAGGACCCCATGCCCAGGGCCCCATGATAATGCTATGCAATGCTATGCAATGCACATCAAAGATAAAGAAGTCCTACAGATAGCCTTGATAAGCATATTGAAAGCACCATTGTGGTCACAATCTGCTGAGTAGAGGCAGGTTGGGCATCAGAATTGTTTACTTGCACCTAGTCTTTGGTTGAGATTGCCACACCAAGTGCAGGTCTTTGATGTATATGCTTCTGGTTGTATAAGAAGCACTGTTGGCCACCAAAGTTTGTGCAGATAGTGTGGATCATGAGCAATGTTGTGGCATTTGACCAGCAAACTGTCATGGGGCCAGATGAATGCACAGGAAGAACTGGAATCATATGAAGAGACCATGCACAACAATTGTGGATTGGGCCAAGGGAGAGTTCCAACAGAGCTCAGTGAGATTGGTAGGATCAAGGGCTCTATGACAGAACTTGTCAGGATTGGCAGAAGCAAGGCCTTACTACAGAGTTTGTTGGGATCAGTAGTACCACACTTATATAACAGATCTCATGGGAACTGGCTCAAGGATGCCTCTATTACTGATCTTGCAGCAGGAGGACAACAGATGAGGAAGGGCTCACCATCTGATGAAGTAGGGGCCCTAGGCGACAATGAACGCAGCATAAGAAGGTGGGTGTCATGGGACCGGATGGATGTGCAGGAAGAACGGGACTCATATGAAGGGATCTTGTGCAACCATTGTGGATTGGGCGAAAGGAGAGTCCCAACAGAATTCAGTGAGATCAGTAGGATTGACAGCTCTATGACAGGACTTGTCAGGATTGGTAGGAGCACTGGTCTTACTACAGGAGTCAGTAGAATCAGTGGCATCACATTTGCTACTACATGTCATGGGCCTGGATGCGCAGGAAGCAGGAAGATCTGTCAAGTCATATGAAGGGAGCACAGGAATCAAGGAATCGGGCAGATCATGGGACTTGCAGTAGAGTTCACTGAGATCTGTAGGAGGAACAGTTCTAGGGCAGATCCCAGCTAGATCAGCATGAGCCATAATGGTATCATGAACCCCACCAGAATCTGCAGGACACAGGATTATAGGACATATTCTGCAGAGCTCAATGGCAAGGATGATCACATGATAAACAGAGTAGTGGTGAGGACAGCTGGGGTCACCACTGGATGAAGCAGGGGCCTTACACAGCATTGAAGTTGGCACCAGCAGGTGGGCACTGACAACAGGGAGTAATGAGAAGGGGCAAGTTGCCACCCAGATGAGGTGGGGCTGACCCCTGACAGAGAGGAGGCAGTGGGAGGCCCATTCATCCACAAGGGACAAGGAAGTGGTGCCAATGAGGAGCATTGCAAGGTGGATGGGGAGCATAAGGGGGACAAGGAGGAGGAGCAGTGTCATGGGCAATGCTACATGAAAGGTATATAACCATGTCCCCTGCCACAGCAAGTGAGTGGATTGCTATCCACTCTACACCATACATAACTAGTTATCACTTTAAAGCATAAGTATACATTAGTTCAGTCAGTGAAGTTGCAATCAAGTCGATTGCTTCCATTGTAGCACATGTGTTGTATCACTGCTCACTGATGTCTGAAGGCAGTTCATAGCAAACCAGCAGTCCGGATAACAATAGAACTGAAGGCAGTTGTCCACTGCAGTCTGGGGATCACCTCAAGCATTCAGTTGACACACTGGACACTCATGTTGGCAACATCAACAATCTCAATCACACCAGACCTTGGTGTTAGTACCAGTTCCTAGCAGCTACTGATTGTCACAGGGACGGCTGGCCTGCACAAGAGAGTGCGCCAAATGATCAGCGGCAGTTATGATAATGTCGTGTAACGGAGCAGTATATGAAGGGTGCACAGAAGATCAACATATGAAGGGTGCACCAGATTGATCAGAGTCGACAACCATTGGGGATCAACAAGATTAATCAGGTTGGCAGCACACATGATTTACGAGATTGATCAAACCCTGGGAATCCAGATCGATCTCATGGGATTGGATGGAGTCAGCCGGACCAGTACGCTTCAATGAGTCGGCCGATCCAAACAAATACTCAGAGCTATGCCAATGATGGAGGCAGTCGGATCAGCATGCCTCAACTAATCGGCTGATCTGAACAGGTATTCGGAGCTGTGCCAATGTCAGAATCAGTCGGATCAGCATGCTTCAACTAGCTGGCCGATCCGAGCAAGTATTCAGAGCTGTGCCGATGATGGAGTCAGTCGGATCAGCACGCTTCAACTAGTCAGCCAATCCAAACAAGTATTCGGAGCTGTGCCAATGTCGGAGTCAGTCGAATCAGCACACTTCAACTAGTCAGCCAATCCGAACAAGTCGAGATGGAACTGAGCTGATGTGACCACATGACCAGGGGGTATGGTCACAAGGTTCAAAAGGGGATTCACAAGATTAAGTCAAAAGGGGGCCATGCCGAAAGGGGGCATCACACATCAGACAGAAGGAGAGCATGAAGGTGAGAGGGCAGTGTTGCATAACCCTTGTGCCGAGCAAAATGGTAGGAGCACAGTATCAAAGGGGATGATGCCAGCAGGGCAAGGCAGTGCCTAACAGGGGACAAAGGCCCCTCAAGAGGAGCAGGATAGGTGTCAAGGGAAAACACTGATCGAATGTATAAATACTCTCTTTCTACCATAGCATTCGAGTGGACTGGCATCCACTCTGAAACTCAACTACTTACTCTATACTTACTAGGTTACATATCTTTGCAATAGCAGTGCTCTTGCAACGACTCTCAACGTGTGTGTTGTATCACCATTAGTCGACAACTGTAGGCAGTGTTCTTCACACTAGCGGTCCAGTTCATTACTGTAGGCAGTGTTCTTCAACACCAGCAGTCCAGTTCCTTGCTGTAGGCAGTGTTGCTCGACACCAGCAGTCCAGTTGGTTATTGTAGGCAGTGTTTCACACCAGCGGTCAAGTAACTCACGTCCTCTGTAGGCGATTGGCATATCGCGGTCCAGACGACGTCCAAGAGCATTATCAACAGTACTACAAACACTTGTACTGTAGGGGAGGGTGTATCACGCACTCACCAACAAACAATGTCTGTGCCATGCAACCTCTGAATGGAGTGTTCAAGGTGGTCAGTCAAGACTACTAGGCAATGACGCTTGGTTATGTTTAGGCGAATCATATTGAGTAGTCCTTACTCAATCAACCCCAGCTAGTCTCTGGCGCATGACTGCTTACATTAGAGTGGATCATTCAAGTTGTGCCCCATGACAACATGATGGAGCCTGACACCAAGGATAGGTTCGAGGAGCTGCAGAGATTAATGGAAAGGTCCGAGGAAAGAATGGAGAAGCTCCTATCAATGAATCGGACAGTTACCAATCGTTTCGTGCAAAGGTTGGAGTCATTGGAAGCCCTCGTCAGGAGCAACAGTCAGTCTGAGGAGACTACCAACGAGGAGTCATTCAAACCCAACCCAGCACCCAGACCACACAGGACAGGGTCATTCCTAGGTCAAAACACGCAATCATATTCGAACTATGAGAAGTATGCGACCCCTACTGGGCCGAGGTACAGTCAGCCCTATGAAGGAATACCTAGGGACACTGAATATGACGTCAAGAACATGGGGGAGCCTTCTCCTGGTCAGTCTAAACCACTTTCCACCCCTTTCCCAAAGTTCAATCCGAGGGATGTGGAGATCTTCCTGATCAAAGCTGAAACATGGTTCGCATTCAATCGAGTCTATGACCACAAGAGCATGATCCATCACACAGGGTCCCAGTTGGAAGGGAATGCTTGTGAATGGTGGACATCCAAGATATGAATTGATCGTGACCGACAAGGGAGATTGTTCCATGACTGGCATTATTTCAGACAATGCTTGACCGAACAATACAACCCCCACAATTCGAGAATCGAAGCTTACAACAAGCTACTCAACATGTGACTCACAACTGACACACCTGGTGCAGCTACTTGACATGTTGAATGGTTCAGAGACCTTGAAGGGCAAGTCAATATGGAGGACAGGGACTTGGTTATTGACTTATTCTGAAGTACCCTCACCTGTGGTCTTCAGGAGAAGTTCGAGTGAAACCCACCTACAAGTATTTGGGAATGGTATTGAGAGGTAGAGGACATTGATTGTCAACGAATGGTGATGCAACATTCTGCCTCAAGATATCCCAGCGTACTTATGTCTCGCATGAACCCAGTCACACGAGCAACAACATCAGCAATTCCACAGGCCCGACAACCTGGACCTGTAACTGCAGGTACTTCATACCAATTTGGTAATCATCCCCTGCCTCCTCACCTGTTACAAGCCCAGAAGCCAAGGGAGGCTAACCCTCAGGACAGCAACACTTGTCATGTGTGCAGAGGCACAGGACATTGGGCAAGGGATTGTCCTACTAGAAAACCTCCCATACCAATGACAACCAGACCTAATGGTCCAAAAGTCATGGTGACCTTAGAAGATGCCCCCAAGGGAGAATCAACTCCTGAGGAGGAAAGCATGACTGAAGAAGAACCACAAGATGCATATTCAGTCAAGCAAGCCAGCCTCGAGCTCGCTCAGTTATCTCTCACCGATGAGGCAGAGAGCAATTATGAGGAGGACAAGGAGGGAAATGTCAGTGGGACGATGCCCTGATGGCATGCATCGCCCTACAACCTTGG